ATTTCTTTGTGCCCTTTTGATAAAGCGCTCTGTTGTTGAGATGTTCGATTTCCTCTGACATGCTGATCTTTGTATATGCTTCTTCTCGTCTTATGATGTGTGAGTTCTGCTTCATCGAGTTCTTATTCAAGATTTTTCTGATTTTTACCAGTCTTATTAAAGAAAGTTCTGAAAGAGAAAAAATCGAGGGCATTGAAGACTTTGAGACGCTGAAGCATGAACGACGTGTGTTATGTTTTACGTACACCCAATTAGTGAATCCTCCAGAAAACATTGAATATTTCAACGAAACGAGCATATGCTCGACCCCGCTTGACCTCCGGTACCACGCCTTAACCCTGGTAAGGATTAACTCAACCTGAGTTCATCTTTCAACGGCGCAAATCTCTCCACGTGCTGCAATCCAAGGACGTCCACCCCATCCCCGTTTCTACATAAACCCCTTCTCGGGTGCATTTGGTTCGGCATTGTTAAACCCTTTGGGCTCTAAATCCACTTGGACAAATGCAAATGGTATTACGAGGAAATGTAGTTGCATCTCTAAGGACTTCTAAGGCAGGTTCGGAGGTGCATTGTGTTTTCGAAATGTAAATACAATTTTTTTTCTTCAAACTTTCCCCTCGTGCAATTTTCATAATTTCGAAAATGTCTCCACGTCACTAACAATCGGAACAACCATTAATCACCAACCATTGCCCACTGACGAACTCACAATCAGAACAACCATTAATCACCAACCATTGCCCACCAATGAACGGATAAAAAACAAAAAGCCTACAAAGAAATGGAAATCGACCAAAAACTTTACTGGAATCACGCAAAGCATCAAGATGAACATGCGGCTATGATCGACATTGAAGACGGAAAGAGAATCGATCGGTCCATCATTTTAATGGAATTTATCTAAAATCGTGCATCTTCAATTAGTGCATTCGATTACTTTCTCTTATGCTTCTTTGAGCATAAGTCGCGAATTTGTCACTCGCTCGACCTCAAGCGAGGCTGGCCGCTCGCAGTTGAGTTCTGCTTGTCTAATTTTGTTTCGTTGTGGGCTCAATTACTAATAGGCTTAAATCCCTTCAGGACCTAAGCTAATTAACTTATTGGGCACATAAATTCCACTTTATCATTGGCGAGATCCATGCCGACAGTTTTCCTTTAACCACTTCATTGAGAAATGTCGCCCATAATTAAATAGTTTGAGAGTTTTTTTTTAAAGAAAAATCCTTTACAAAGTATAATTTAGCGTATTTAAATCAAAGTTACTGTCTAATGTATTTTTAAAATACATTTTATTGAACACTACTTGCAATTTGGAAAATCCCTTTATCTCAAAGACCTTTGCATTTTCCTAAATACATTTCTCCAAAGTCGAACTAAATATTTTCTTCGACATCACGATTGGCGGAAAGCCGGCCGGATCGTGATGGAGCTCTTCGCGGACACCACGCCGCGCACGGCCGAGAACTTCCGGGAGCTCTGCACCGACGAGACGACGTCAGTAGCAACGGGAAGCCCACCACTACGAGGGGTTAGTGTTCTGATCTAAGGTTCATGTGACAGGGCAGCCGGGGACAAATGGATGGCAGTTCTTCATATGCTCGGAAAAGATGTCATGGCTGCACTCGAGGACTCACGAATGTCGTGCGGTGGTGCTCACCTGAGGTCTCACTTGAGCTCGCGCTCTCTAGTTCTTTATCTCACATTCCCAATGCCAAATCTTGTCTCCATTGCGCGGTGGCGTCGGATGATAGATACAATAGATGTGACCACCTCTGTAGAGGTCGCTGCCGACGAAAATGACAACCACCGCGGATGTTGCTCGCTCTCTTTGCACATTAATTCATGTTTCCCTCTTTTTTTTTAGGAATTGTTTATTTAATTTTTTGATATTTATTCAATTCTAATCTAGGTCTAACAACCACATTGTTTGATAGGATATGCTCATGATCTTTGCTATATCCAATCACCACCTAACCGAGACATATTGCATAATGAATCCTTGCATTTCTTATTTCATCTCATTTCATTCTATCCTAATCATTCTCCTTGTGACCAAACGTAACCAAAGTAGTTTACTTCTTGAGGTCAACTTCGACTCTCGAATTTCTCATTCATAATTCTCTATCCGGTTCGATGGAATTGGGTGATAAAAAAAGGAAATAAAAACATAGGAAAATGTTTGCTTTTATTTTTTAGGATTTAGAAAAAATAAATGGAAGTGAAGAACCAAAATATTTTATTTTTAATATTTTCTCGTAAACGGAATTTGTCGGGATTAGTCAGACTATTTGTCTATTTAATTTCTTTTAATTGCTTTTTAATTTCAACACATATCCAAAATATACAAAGGGAATATTTTTGTTCTTTTCTTTTCTCTTCCTTTTCCTTCTTTTTTTCTCCTAATTTGAATTGTCAAACAACTACTTAGTATATCCTATAGTATTTTTTTTTTCCTACTCTAGACACTAGAAAAAATGTGTGCTGCACGGAAAAGGAATTTCGTAATTTAAGATTTAGAAAATAGATTTTTCAATATGTGATTTTGAGTTTTCCAATATTTCACGATAACTTTTGTGGTTGGTACCAACCAACGAGTGAAATGTCAATTTTTTGGAATTAAAAATCATTCGAGAAGTTTATTATATAAACTATACAAATCTGAGGATCGGTTTAGAGAATGATACAATTCCATTATTAGGCTTCCTTATATAGTATTTTGTGGATTAATATGATCCATGAACAATCTTTTGATTTAGTTACCAAATAAAACTTTCATCTTTCATATACTTTAAAAACATTGCATGCATTGTCATTGGGAGATTGTCGAAAAAAGTCCTAAACCTATTAAGTGGCTAACTCAATCATAAACTTTTTTTAATTTTGCCAATTCAGTCGTAAACCTCTTGACAATTTGCCAGTATCGTTAATTTCTTCATGCTCGTTCCAAGTTCGAAGTACCATTTGTACAAATAAGAATCCCCTTCGTTACATGATTTCTTCTTCATATAGATAGATATAGAATCTATGGGGCAATTACTTAGAAGTACATTTTGTGCAATGCCCTTCCTATATGATAGAAAAGGATCCCATGATCCTGAACCGATCTTACCTGGGATTGCAAATCCCAAGTTTGTCTATGAAGAGCAGATCGAATTGTATTAGTATTCAATTGTGGTCGAAAATCGTTAACGTGGATGTCGGATGTCTTATGTGAGGCGACCAGGACAAAAGAGATTGGTAAGTAAAGCATGGCATGCCCACTATGGGTTTTTTCGCTGGTGTTTTCCCTAATTTCTATTTTAAAACCTTAAATCGACCAATCATCAATCGATTTCCCCGGTCTTCATTATGTTCGATATTGGAATGAAGCTCACGATTCTCTTAGTGAGAAGCTCAGTTCCGCTTTAATTAAGTTCGACAAGCAGGCACAAGAACCGGGGTTGGTTTGGCTGGCCTTCAAGCAGGCAATCAAGAGAGATAGGCTCCGAAGGTCTTTAAAAATCAGCAATTTCTAGCCAAATAGCTAAAAGCCGTAAAAAATTATGAAACTAAATTGCCAAAATTAAATAATTTAAGACTAAATCGATCGCCGTATAATAGATTTCAGCCTTTTAGCATCGTCACGGTGGTTGATAGTACGTTCTCGCTTGGCCCAACCTGTGGACCATATGACCAACGGTTTCAACACACATAGATTCAGGCGACTTCTCCTCGAGAAGGGAACATGGGCACGCGCAAGCATCGATGCATCTTTGTCGTCATAAGGCGCCTAACCTAATAATGCTTCTTTCACAAGAACAGATTGTCTCCACAAGTTTCAGTCGAATGCAATTCATTAAGAATCATGCACGGGATTAATTTGCCCATAGTTTCACGTAATTGATTAAAGTGAAAAAGAGGGACAAGTTTCAAATAGGGCTTTTGAAGCGAGGCTGTGTTTTTTCAAAAGGGTACCGGAGCGGACATCGTCTCGCATGAGATCATGAAATTGCCAACTTAGTCTAAACACATACCCAACTCATCGGCTAGCGTTTTGAGACCATGTTGGCCAGTCTAGAATTTTATTTGGGACGATAGTACAGACGTGGCTTGTATTTTCTCTTCACGTTCATTTAAAAATTGACACATGTATTGAATTAGATTAAAAATAAATCATGTGGAATTTCTTTGTTGGCTTCGTCCGGCCACTTGACCTTGGATGAGCCGCCATGGCCGTTGACGTTGCCGGCCATCCATTGTCATTAGCATCGCTTGTCACAGTGACGCTGCTGCTTCTCCGTATTTGGTCGTCCATGGCTATCGGCGTCGCTCGTGAGCCTTCCACCGCCATGGCCGATGACACTCTAGATCCATATCTGCAATCCAGCAACTCTTTATTTCTCTACAACTGTCGAAGCCGCTTCCTTACTCAGCAAATTCACACCTGCAATCCTCTGTTTAGCTGTCAATTTCTCCGTTTACAAACCAGCTGTGAGCGGCTTGGCCATGAACAAGCAAAGTATGAGCTTCCAAAGAGAGTTCTCTTGATCTTTACTCAATATGCAATACGGTCCTTAAACTTTAGTCCAATGTGTAATGTATATTTTTATATAATTCATGGATTAAATCGAACATGTACTAAAAGTCCATGGATCACATTTTCATATAATTCATGGAGTAAATCGAACATGTACTAAAAATTCAGAGATCGTATTAAATAAATTAAAAGCTTAAGAATCACGTTATACGTTAAGCCAAAAGTTAAATTATGATTTGCGTTGTTTTCCCAATTTGGCATAAGACTCGAATCTTAAATCTATCGAAAAAGCTAGCGTCCGAGCTCAGTTCTCCGCATTCGAGATCGTTGCCGAATCTCGACCGTCCGCTCAATCCCATCCGACAAACCTCCTGCCGACCGAATCCCGACCGAGCCACTCTCCACCGTCGGATCATCCCGGTTGTCAAAACCCCGACGCCCTCCCAACATTTTAAAGCCCTACCGAACCTTCGCTTCGCTGCCAGCGAACGCAATCTTCTGTTACATTGTGAGAGAGAGAGAGAGAGACCACCGCACTCCTAGAGAGAGAAACAGAGCGCGCGGTAGAGAGAGAAAGCTCGCCCCCTCCTTCCCAAGCACCACAACCATGGCGGCGATCGTCTCCCCCTGGGCCACCAAGCCTGGCGCGTGGGCCCTCGACTCCGAGGAGCACGAGGACGAGCTCCTCCAGCAGCAGAAGTCCGATGCCGCCGCCGCCGCCGGCCCCCCCGCGGCCGCGGCGGCGCCGCTCGCCGACTTCCCCTCCCTTGCCGCCGCGGCGGCCGTCAAGCCGAAGAAGAAGAAGGGCCAGGCCATCCCGCTGGCCCAGTTCAACTACGGCTCCGCCGCCCCGAAATACGAACCGTCCAAGGGCCTCACGCGCGAGGATCTCCTGATGCTGCCCACCCGCCCGCGCGAGCGATCCGCGGAGGAGCTCGACCGGAGCCGGCTCGGCGGGGGCTTCAAATCGTACGGCTCCGGGCGCTACGGATCGAACGATTCGGGGGAGGACTCCTCGAACTCGCGGTGGGGCTCGTCTAGGGTTTCGGATGATTCGAGGAGGCAAGGAGGGTTCGATAGGGAAGGAGACAGGGAATCCTTGCCCTCGCGGGCTGACGAGATTGATGACTGGTCTGCTATGAAGAAATCGACTGTGGGAAATGGTTTCGAGAGGAGAGAGAGGGGCGGGTTCTTCAGTTCGCAGTCGAAAGCTGATGATTCGGATAGTTGGGTGTCGAATAAGAGTTCTGAGCCGCGGCGGTTCAGCGGCGAAGTGGGCAGAGAGAGGAGAGTGTTTAACAGAGGGGTTTTTGAGGGTTCTAACGGTGGCGGCACAGATGCTGATAGATGGAGCAGAAGGAAGGAAGATGAGGGTAGTTTCAGCAGTGGCACAGATGCTGATAAATGGGGCAAGAGGAAGGAAGACGAGGGTAGTTTTGGCAGCGGTGCAGATGCTGATAAATGGGGCAAGAGGAAGGAAGATGAGGGTAGTTTTGGCAGCGGCGCAGATGCTGATAAATGGGGCAAGAGGAAGGAAGACGAGGGTAGTTTTGGGAGTTCAAGGCCCAGGCTGGTTTTGCAGCCCAGGACAGTGGCTGTTAGTGATGGGGCAGGGTCAGGTTCAGGCGCGGTGGCAAAGCCGAAAGCATCGAGCCCCTTTGGAAATGCAAGGCCAAGGGAGGAGGTGTTGAAGGAAAAGGGGCAGGATTGGAAGGAGATTGATGAGAAGTTGGATACAATGAAGATTAAGGAAGTGGAGACAGGGGATAATAGAGAAGGGTCTTTTGGGAAGAGGAGCTTTGGGAGTGGAATTGGAAGGGCCAATTTACAGGACGACAGGACCGAGGGGATTTGGAGGAAGAATGATTCCAATGAGGTCACTGCGGTTCCTTCCCCAAGGTTGGTTCAGTTTGTTGTTTGACTAACCTGTACTTGATTTGAAGAGGAAATTGACATTCTTGCATTGATGACTGTGTTGTGTGATTTAGTGGATAGGTACTTATCAGAAAAGTGTTCGAGCTGATACTTAGTATTTAGACTGTCTCTATTAGTGTGTTCCATTAGGGGAATCCTACCTTTTGATGGCCTATGAATAGTGTCTTTTTGGAGGTAGTATTCGTCATAATCCATGAAAATGAAGACAATGGGATAATTCACTTTAATAGAAATTTGGCCATGACATGTCTTGCTGATGTAACTATAAAAGCGTGCAAGTATGAGCTCTAGATGGTTGTAGTTTTAGACATTCAAAAGGAAGTTGGAGAGCATGGTTCGTTTAATTTTGGCTTGGTTCCATTGGCTGTGCGATGGTAGGAAAGAAGCGGCAGGTTACCAAACATGAAGGGATGGTTGATGTTAGTCATTAGGCAAAGCATTTTAGCTTGTTCTTGTGCAATCTGTACCTTCGATATGATAGAGAGTGTTCGATGTAATTATAAAAACTTGCAAGTATGAGCTCTAGATGTTAGTAGTTTTAGACATTTAAAAGGAAGCTAGAGAGCATTTGTTTAATTTTGGCTTGGTTCCATTGGCTGTGTGATGGTAAGAGAGAAGCAGCTGGTTACCAAACATGAAGGTATCGTTGATGTTAGTCATTAGGCAAAGCATGTTGGCCTGCTCTTGTGTAATCTGTACCTTCGATATAATAGAGAGTGTTGGATGATTTTTACAGGTGTGATAATTTCGCTGGTGCAAAAGAAGTACCTTTCTTTCTCTCAGACTTCAACGTAATTTGTTTTAAGCTTCTTGCCATCTTGGGGAAACTCTGAAGAATATGAGAGCTTCATCAGTAATGACTTTTTTTTTTTTTAACATCTGCCTATACAAAAGGGGCAAATGCTTTGCAAATACGTTAGGGAGCAATTTTTTTCTGCTTCTCTGAACAAATTTACAATTCCCATCTTGTTCTCTCACATCTCATATGGATCTCGTGAATTTGTTTGATGACTTTGTTTGCATGCTCTTTAACTTTTGTTTATTCCCTTTATAGCACGGTCTATGTTTTGATTTAAAATGCTGACTTTTCTTTTTGAATGCCTCGTTGTGTTGGTATGAGGCGGTGTAGTATTAGATGCAACTAATATTGCTTATTCGTACTTGTTATCGATTGTTTTCTCTTTGTTAGTTAGTTTTGGTGCATTCATACAGTGATATTGAGTATGATGTAGCCCTTTTTATCTCTAAAGTTCTCAATAGAAATTACTAGGAGCCATGTAACAGTATAAGTTAACATGCATAGAGCATATAGTCCAAGAAGTCAGACAGGCAAAGCAACTAGTTGGTTATTGTAAAGCTGCGGATCTCTTAATTTGAAAGTGGTGTTTCTTTATTTATATGGAAGTACTTTCCCTACTTTTCAAGGTCGGAAGTTATGGATATCATGGGAGACAATAATATGCAGCCGATTCTTTCATCACGTAGTGCATCTCTAAAAGCCTAGAAACTCATTTGGATTCATTATCGTGCAGTGTCGAGCAGGATGACAATGGAGTTGAAGGAAACTAAATGGCGGAGAAGTTTTGCATCACGACAGTTCGAGAGGAAGAGGAAGAGGACTTGCTTTATAGCGGATAGCAGTTTTGACCTGGTCGACTTAAGCTTTATTTATTGCTTCTTGTGTTTGGTTGTGATTTTTCATGTCCATCAATTATGTGGAGAATTTTTTTGGTTGGGTTATGCTTGTTGCTACGCATGTTTCGTGGCGGCGGATATGTGATTAAGGACCGTATAGTTAATTTTTGTGGCTGCGATGTAGTTGTTTAGACGCTGTGACGACGGTGATGAGAAAGACTATGACTTAAGATAGTGACCGAATAAATGGCGTGTCTTTTGGTGCTGTTAACTTCTCTTCATCTGTTTTTTCATTAATGCACTAGGACTCGAGATGATGTGCTATTGACTTATCTCTTAGTTTTGATTGATTGGATTTCGCCACATGCTATTGGTATCTAACTTCTCTTCAACTGTGTTTCATTTGTGCACTGAGTGTTGAATCTTGGATGGATTGCCCATTATATTGTATTTGACGTAGCATTTCTACTTCTCGGTTCTATATCTGTGGGCTCACGCAATTTCCATACTCTAAATGATTGTACAGCACCTTGACGAAAACAACCTCAAGCAGAACTAATTGATCAAAATCATTAATGGAAATTTTGGAAGTTGTTATTTTATGAAAATACAATGGCTGCATGTTGTTACGAAAACAGACCATAAAAGTGCAGCAAGTTCGTGAACCTTTCTTTAACGTTTCTAGACTGGATTAAATCCCAATGGAGGCACGGAGTAGTCTCGTTCACGTGCATCAATTGATCAAACCTACCCCTAGGCTAACCTAAGACGTCGGAAATGGAAATGTTCATAAAACATGACCATATGAACCTCGAAATACAAATTAACTTCAATTATCAAAGTATGAAATCAGGTTTGTAATTGAAGATTAAAATAAGGATCTAAACTTGCCGGCCAAATTTTTGCTAGCTAGCGTAGCGAGCACATGCTTATTTCGACAGTATAATTGCCGAAAAACATTTCATTTTTTTTTTTAATTTTTTCACTTTTTTCTTTTCTTCCTCTTTCACTCACATTTCTCTCCAAATCCGGCCGTCTTCCATGGCCGTCAGCTCGCGTTCAAGCGTCTTCTTGGTCGGCTTTTCAAATCTGGCCGTCCATGGCCACTGGGGCCGAAGGTCACAAGCGACAACGGCTCGTTCGACGCTGGCGGCCATGGCTTGAGTCGATCTTCGTTTGTCACGACTCCATAAGCAAGTAGTCCTTGAATTGCTCTCGCCTCAGCAGCTAGAGCTTGCACTTTGTCAGCCCCGTGATGATCAGGCCTCGCAGCATCCTCCAGCCCCTTCTACTTCTGCTGCTTCCGGCCGACATGCAAGGGCGGCACCGCCGGCTCAAAGTTCTTCTTCTTCCTGTCGAAGCCATGCTGCTTGCGGTCACTAGACTAGCAGTTGAGGGTTTTCTCTTTGGAGCTGTGCCATGGCTCTTTGGAGGGTTTTTTGGGGGCAAAATCATGTTATGGAGAGAGACAGAGAGAGAGAGGGGATTTGGAGGTGAGCTTGAGACCTGCTACTTCCCTCCAATCACGAAGGAGATGAATAGTGAAAAGATAGGAAAAGAAAAAAAAAAACTTAAAAAAGAAAAGTCTTTGGATAAAAACGCGTCTGCTTGTGCTGCCGAAATAAGCATGTGCTTACTGACTGGTGAAGATTTAGCCGGTTGATGAATTCGTAATTTTGTTTGAGATCAAGGGTGCGGTTGTTTCAAGGGAACGTGTTTTTCGAAAAATCCGTTTTTTAAACTTTCATCCGTTTAGTTCGCTGAAAATGATCAGTCAACCGAAAATACTTTCCAATCAAGAAAAATATTCATGTATAAATTAAGAAAGTGAATTTTTTAATCTAAGAAGGTAAAAACACTTGTTTGAATTGCTTTCTTTTACCTTTTTAATATTTTATTCTTTTCTTTCTTATCTGTTCTTTCTTTTTTCCTTTTTGTTTTTTATTTTAAAAACAAAAATATTTAAAAATTCGAATTTTTGTTTTTGCCTGAGATAAAATCATAGGATTGAAATCATTTTGCAAATAAGATCCAAATATCAAAATATATTTTCGATTACATATCACTAAACAAAGGAAAACTAACTATTTTCCTAAAAAATGATTTTCTGGAAAATATTTTCCAAAAATGTTACATTTTTCGTGAAACAAATATACCATAAATGACTACTTCAGACCCTTATTTGAAATAATATCTATTCTATGTCTTCTTTTGAAAAATCGCATCCACATCGAGTTCTTATTGGGAAATTTTCCCCGATAACACAAAATTATATTTAACTCAGCTTCAAACATTGATTTTGCCATGCTTTCATTAATAATCGGCATAAAAAAAATTCTTTTACACTTAAGTATAGTGATTTCAAATTCACATACCATGTAAACTGAGAAACTCTCACTTTACTTTGCTAATACACGGAAGGTTCATATGTTAAAAAATGACAATTGATTCGAATAGTTGATAATAATAGCTTTGATCTTCCATGACTGGAGAAGAGTGACCAGTATTGTTAACAAGCAAAATCTGGACCCTTGCCACGTAAGATTTTAAATTTAAAAAAAAAATCAAATATTGTGGAGGGAACTTCTTTTTCTCGGACTTCAAACATTAAAATTAAAATTAGCAGTCTCCTCTCTCTCTTCAAGTCTCGACGTTGACCACGGACACGAACTTCTAACGCCGACCTCCGTTCCACGACGGCGACGGCGACGGCGACGGCGCCGATGGCTTCCCTCTTCTCGCTCTCCCTCGCTCTCCTCTCCGTCTCCTTCCTCACCACCGCCGTCGACGATTCTCAGTTCACCTTCCACGAGGCCACCGTCGAATCCATCCACCTCGCCTTCGCGCAGAACAGGCTCACCTCCCGCCAGCTCGTCGACTTCTACCTGGACCGAATCCAAACCCTGAACCCCTCCCTCCGCTGCGTCCTGGAGGTCAACCCCGACGCCCTCGATCAGGCCAACGAGGCCGATCGGCTGCGGGCGGAGGCTGGCGGCAACGGGACCCTGGGGGCTCTGCACGGGATCCCCGTCCTGCTCAAGGACAGCATCGGGACCGACGACAAGATGAACACCAGCGCCGGATCGTACGCGCTGCTGGGGGCTCGCGTCGCGAGGGACGCGTTCGTGGTGGAGAGGCTGAGGAGCGCCGGGGCTGTGATCTTGGGCAAGGCGAGTATGAGCGAGTGGTACTCGATCCGGTCCTCGAAGATGCCCAGTAGCTGGTGCGCTCGAGCTGGACTGGGCTTGGTAAGCGTATATCGCTTCTCTGTTCGCAACTACGTGTCTGAGTTTTTGACAATGTTTTGAAATGAACGTGCTTGTGATGAATCGGGCAATCCAAGCGTGCGTCTGAAGATTGATTTGATGATTTAGTCCTCCCCTCGAGGGAAGATGCAGGGACCAGTGAATAACTAATGTTGATACTGCAAGCTGTGATTAGGAGAGGGCCACATAGATGTTAGACATTTGGTGGATGAATGCACTTGTAACTGCGACATGCGGGTGAGCGCGTGTATAACAAAGCATGCATACTTGTTCAGGTAGTCACCTTGTTTGTGTAGATGTTCAGTTTCATGGTGTGTTCCCCGGCAAGAACTGCGAATAAATGCCCTTTCTACTTGGCACTTCTCATGGGAAATGATTCGATGAATAAGGTCGTGTGGGCTATTCAGGGGAAGGCCTGCTTCTTGTTAAGTCCTTCTAAGGAGTATGGTGATCTCGGACGGATCCTGTACGTTTTCTGAGTGGGTTCATTGGAGAACATAAGACATATGCATATATAGTTATATCGATATTGTTAGTGTTTTTTCTATTGTTCCTATAGAATATTAATGCAAATATGTAGAAAGTCTTAACCACAATGATCCGTGATTTGATTCGGTGATGTCATATATCTTTTTCCTGTTCTTTTGGGTAATAATTTCATGTTATTTGTCCCAAGTTGTGTGAAAAACACCACATTTACCTCTTATTGTAAGTTCTTGATCTGGAGTTTTGAAATCCATGCTTTTAGAACTTCATACTTGCTTGTGCTTCATATATTACAAAACTGATAATCCATGACATGTCCGGCATCTAGAAAAGTGTATAAATTGCTTGGTTAACCATTTTTGTATCCTCTTAAAAGTAACAGGACAATCATTCATTAACTAATTCATCATGGTGTTTATACTATAGGATTTGTATTTCTAGTTTGGATCTTTCACACAAATAAGTTTTGAATGTTGTTCAATGTTTAAGCTTCTTCCTTTCTTTCAGTTTGAGGTCTCCAAATTCTTTTTTTTTCTTGACAACTTTGCAAATATATTATAGTTTCATTTATGTGGTTGACAGTGGGGTCAATCTCCGAAGTCTAGTTGTCCATACAATTCTTCCCAGCAAAATACTCAAGTATAATATAGACTTTGGAAGTTCGGTGGGGTCACTTGCCCCCGCTGCACAGCACTGCACGCTGTCCCTGTGATCTTTGACTATGTCTGCTTGAAAAAAGATAAATTTGTTTATTAACCTTGCTTCTCTATGTCGCACGCTTCTCATGAAAAATGATATGATGAATGAGATGAAGGCCTGCTTCTCGATAGGTCCTTTTATGGGGCAAACTGTTCTTTGACCACCATGTCCAGAGTAAGAGTTTTATCTACTAGTTCTTCTCACTCTTACTTTTGCACATATTCAGAATCCTTATGTGAAGTCGGGCGACCCATGTGGCTCCAGCAGTGGCTCAGCAATAGCAGTGGCTGCAAACATGGTTGCTGTGTCATTAGGGACTGAAACTGATGGTTCCATCATCTGCCCAGCTGATCATAATTCGGTTGTCGGTTTCAAGCCCACTGTTGGACTCACAAGTCGGGCAGGCGTTATTCCACTTTCACCACGCCAAGACTCAATTGGGTAATTATGTTTCGCAGTCTGGGACCATGGTTCCAATGGCCTGCCAGTAATTTACTTGTCACTCATCCATGATCCTATTGTTTGGTTGCTTAAGTTCTGTACTTCTATTTATTCCATGCTTGTATATGCAAGTAAATATCTACATATATATTTTGTCGTCTTGTGATTTTATTCCATGTTAAGTCAGGCCCATAAGCAGAACTGTGTCGGATGCAATCCATGTACTTGATGCTATAGTCGGATTTGATCCAAGGGATGAAGCTACAGTGGAAGCAGCCAAATTCATACCAACGGGCGGTTACAAGCAGTTTCTTAGGGAAGACGGTCTTAAGGGAAAAAGATTGGGCATAGTAAGAAATCCTTTTTTGGACTCTTTTAAAGGATCCACTGCTGCTTCGACTTTTGATGAACATCTCGTAACTTTCTGGTGAGTATCAAGTGAAATTAGCAATGCAGACCACTACATGTTTTGAATTAGGACCTACTTCACCAGTATCTGTATTCAGAATACTTGATGTCGACGGTTGTAATCAAAACTGTTAATGTTATGTTAACCACTTTCTTCTTTTGGTTATCTGAAGGAACAATGGTGCAACTATAGTGGATAATTTGGAGATAGAAAACATTGGCATCATCCTGAATCCATATCAGAGTGGTGAAATGGCTCTACTGCTAGCTGAGTTCAAGCATACTCTAAATGAATACTTAGGAGGATTGAGCAACTGCCGCGTGAAGTCGCTAGCAGAAGTTATCGCCTTCAACTCCAACAATCCAGATTTGGTTAGTATTAGATCGTGGCAACGGCGATGGAGGTCTTAGATTTTCTCTGAACTCTCTTCCACTACATACATGATGCAGCTCACTAGTCTTGGCTAGAAAAAAAATTGATGAGTTTCCTTTTGTTTTATCAACCTTCTCATTAATACTTGCTAACTCAAGCCTCAAATACTGCAGGAGAAGATGGAAGAGTATAATCAGGATGGGTTAATTGCAGCACAGATGACAAACATACTTGATGAGGAAGTTGTCAAGGCAGAACATACGATGAAAAAGTTGTCAGAAGAGGGATTTGAAAAACTAATGAAGGAAAACGAGTTGGATGCCATGGTGACACTAGGTGCAGGTGCTGCCACAATTCTGGCAATTAAAGGCTATCCAGCGCTTACTGTTCCCGCTGGATATGACGACAATGGAATGCCATATGGGATATGCTTTGGGGGATTGAAGGGATCGGAAGCCAAGTTGATTGAGATTGCCTTCTCTTTTGAGCAAGCCACGGGGATTCGTAAACCTCCTCTTTCATTTTCTTCTGAATTTCACTATCAGTATTATGAGTAAAGCAATTGTACCATGTGGATACATGAGTTTTCCACTTCATTTCCGATGACAATGAGTCAAAAATGTGAGACTAGGTAAGATGTCTCTAACTAGTTAAGAGATACGAGGTTTGTATTATCTACTATCTGGTCTGTCTGTTCCTTAGAGCTTTGTCTGTAACATCTGTTTCTTCAGGATATTTGACAAATAACTACTGCAATGTAAATAAGCTCTAGTTAGTTGATTTGCTAATCATATATATATATATATATTTTTTGGTCGGGACACATGTTTTATTTAGCCCATGCTCGATATATTAACTGCAGATGATCTCGGTTGTGACAGTGTAAAACAAGGCCCTTCTACAATTATCCTGGGAATGTTTCAGAATTTGTTATGTCTGCGTTCATGTTATAGTGAAAATTCAACCAAACTTTGATGATTTTTACTTTTTAGCAGTTCCAATTTACTTGTGCTCATCTCACTTATCACAAAGCATATTTCGCTTCTGCCTAACGATCATGATGTGCCTGATTTTGTTGCTCGTTTCCCTTTCTTATCGAAAGTGCACACGTGTTTCACATTTTGTTTGTTTTCTTACCTCCATTATTTAGCCATTCTTGCATCTTGACGTGCACACAAAAGCAGGGCCATCGCCTTTTGGCAGGAGGTCTTGAATAGCGGAGCGGACCATATGATCATCATGCAGTGACGCTGACTTGGAAAGATACCAATAGAAGTTCCAAGGTTGGTGCTGATAAACCAATGAATTCTTATTGGTCACCATAATCACGGCCACAGATGCTGATAGATGGGGCATATGTGATTAAGGACCGTATGGTTAATTTTTGTGGCTGCGATGTAGTTGTCCCGACACTGCGAAGATGGTGATGAGGAAAACTGACTTAAGATAGTGACCAAATAAATGGCATGTCTTTTGGTGCTGTTAACTTATCTTCATCTGTTTTTTCATTTATGCACTGAGGCCCGAGATGATGTGCTATTGACTTATCTCTTAGTGCTGATTGATTGGATTTCACCACATGCTATTGCTATCTAACTTCTCTTCATCTGTGTTTCATTTGCGCACTCGAGTGTTGAATCTTGGATGAATTGCCCATTATATTGTATTTGACGTAGCATTTCTACTTCTCGGTTCTATATCTGTGGGCTCAATGGAGGCATGAATTGAACTGTACGAATTGGAAAATCCCAATAGAGGAATGCACGTGATCCCGTTCATGCGCATCGAATAAGCCTACCCTTAAGGTGTCGAGGAAGGTTAAAACCTGAGCGGCAGAGAGATGGAAAATGTTCACGAAACATGACCAAAAGAGCCTCGAAGCACAAGATGATGTAAAATTATCAAAAGAATATGAAACTATGTTTCTAATGAAAATATTAAATCGACCCAGACCCAGAAGCTGTTGTTTAACTTGCACCAAACATGTATTTTGTCATGCCATCATTTGTAAGCAACATCAACAATTTTCTTCTACGCTAAGTTTAGTGAATTCAGAGTCCACCATTGTTAATAACTAATTGCTATGTAAATTTGAAAAAAAAAAAACAAAAATTATGGAGGGAGCTTCTTCGTCACTAGCACTGCGCTTGGAGTTGCAGACACTCTTTCTCTCTTCAAGTTTCACCGTTGACCACAGACTCCAACTTCTCGGACACCGATCTCCATTCTACGACGGCGACGGCGCCGATGACTTCCCTCTTCTCACTCTCGCTCGCTCTCCTCTCCCTCTCCTTCCTCACCACCGCCGTCGCCGCTCCTCAGTTCACCTTCCAGGAGGCCACCATCGAATCCATCCACCTCGCCTTCGCGCAGAACAGGCTCACCTCCCGCCAGCTCGTCGACTTCTACCTGGACCGGATTCAAACCCTGAACCCCTCCCTCCGCTGCGTCCTGGAGGTCAACCCCGACGCGCTCGATCAGGCCGACGAGGCCGATCGGCTGCGGGCGGAGGCCGGCGGCAGCGGGACCCTGGGGGGTTTGCACGGGATCCCCGTCCTGCTCAAGGACAGCATCGGGACCGACGACAAGATGAACACCAGCGCCGGTTCGTACGCGCTGCTGGGGGCTCGGGTCGCGAGGGACGCGTTCGTGGTGGAGAGGCTGAGGAGCGCCGGGGCTGTGATCTTGGGCAAGGCGAGCATGAGCGAGTGGTACTCGCTCCGGTCCCCGGAGATGCCCAGGGGCTGGTGCGCTCGAGGTGGACAGGGCTTGGTTAGTGTATACGTGTATATTGCCTCGTCTGTCCGCGACTGTGCAATTGAGTTTAGACGATGTTTTGATTGTCGCGAAATTGAGCGTGCTTGTAATGAATCGTGCAATCCAAGCGTGTGTCGGATGATTGATTTGATGATTTGTTCCTACTTCGAGGGAAAGATGTAGGGACCAGTGAATGACTAATGTCGATATTGCAAGCTGTGATGAAGAAAGGGCCACATAGATGTTGCACATTTGGAGGATAGATGCACTTGTGATTGCAACATGTGGGTGAGCGTGCGTATATCAAAGAATGCATACTTGTTCATGTAGTCATTTGTGTTGTCGTGGGTGTTCAGTTTCATGGTGTTTTCCCTGTCGAGAACAGGAAAATAAATGCCTTTGCTACTTTACTTAGCACTTCTCGTGGGAAATGATTTGATGAATAAGGTCATGTGGGCTTATTCAGGTGAAGGCCTACTTCTTGTTAAGTCCTTCTACGGGTTATACTGATCTCAGGGACGGATGAACATTTTCTCAGTGGGTTCATTGTAGAACATGAGAAATTTGCATACACAGTTTGTTGATATCGTCAGTATTTTTCCTTCTCTTTACAATATCGATGCAAACATGTAGAAAATCTTAAGCACAATGATCTGTGATTTGATTTGGCGATGTCGTACTTGTTTTTCTGTTTTTTTTTTTGGGTAACCATTTCATGTTTTTTGTCACGAGTTGTGTGAAAAACACAAAGTTACCACTTATTCTAAATTACCACTTTTTTTGGGTAATCATTTCATGTCAATGCATGGGTAACCATGCATTATTTTCTCTTCATACTTGTTTGTGCTTCATATATCGTAAAAATAATGAGCCATGACATGTCGCACTTCTAGAAAAGTGTATAATTGCTTCGTTGACATGTTTACATCCTCTTAACAAGTATCAGGACAATCATTCATTAACAAATTCTCTATGACATTTATATGATACAATTTGTTTTTTTTTTTTTTGGGATCTTTCATACAATAATTTTTGTATGCTGTTCAATGTTTAGGCTTCTTCCTTTCTTCAGCTTGAGGTTTCAAAATTTGTTTTCTTTTTCTTGGCAACTTTGCAGATATCTTATAGTGTCCTTAATGTGGTTGACAGTGGGTTCAATCTCCAAAGTAAAATTGTCAAAATAATTCTTCCCAGCAAAATACACAAAGTAAATATAGGCTTTGGAAGTTCAGTGGGTGCAATGCCCCCACTGCACAACACTACATGCTGTCCCTCTAATCTTTGACTATGTTGGCTTGAAAAAGATACTTTATCTATTGACCTTGGTTCTCTATGTAGTTGGCTTGTCATGCAATACAATATGATGAATAATATGAAGCCCTGCTTCTCAATAGGTCCTGTAAAGGGGCATACTGTTCTTTGACCACCATGTCCAAAGTAAGAGTTTTATCTACTAATTTTTTCTCACTTTTACTTTGCACATATTCAGAATCCTTACGTGGAGTCGGAGAACCCATGTGGTTCCAGCACTGGCTCAGCTATAGCAGTCGCTGCAAACTTGGTTACTGTGTCATTAGGGACCGAAACTGATAGTTCCATCATCTGCCCAGCTGATCATAATTCGGTTGTCGGTTTCAAGCCCACGGTTGGACTCACTAGTCGGGCAGGCGTTATTTTAATTTCACCACATCAAGACTCAATTGGGTAAAGTTTTGCAGTCTGGGACCGTGGTTCCATGATCCTGTAGTCTGGTTGCCTAGGTTCCGTACTGTCTGTTTAATCGGTGTTCGCATATGGATGTATATGTGTGTGTCACCTTGTAATTTTTATTTCCTTGTGGTACAGGCCCATAAGCAGAACTGTGTCTGATGCAGTCTATGTGCTTGATGTGATAGTTGGATTTGATCCAAGGGATGAAGCTACAGGGGAAGCAGCCAAATCCATACCGACGGGCGGTTACAAGCAGTTTCTTAGGGAAGATGGTCTTAGCGGAAAAAGATTGGGCATAGTAAGAAATCCTTTTTCAGACTCTAAGGGATCCACTGCTGCTTCAATTTTTGATCAACATCTTGTGACTTTCAGGTGAGCATAAAGTGAAATTAGCTTTGAATTAGGGCCTACTGCACCAGATCTTTACTTAGTATAGTTGATATTGAAGTGGTTGGAATCCAAACTGTTATTTATGTTATGTTGATCATTTTTTTCTTTTGGTAAATTGAAGGAACAATGGTGCAACTTTAGTGGATAATTTGGAGATTGAAAACATTGACATCATCCTGAATCCATATCAGAGTGGTGAAATGGCTCTACTGCTAGCTCAGTTCAAGCATAATCTAAATGAATACTTAGGAGGATTGAGCAACTCTCCGGTGAAGTCGCTAGCAGAAGTTATTGCCTTCAACTCCAACAATCCAGATTTGGTAAGTATTAGATCGTAGCAACGGTGATGGAGGTCTTAGATTTTCTCTGAACTCTCTTCCACTACGTAATAAGATGTAGCTCACCAGTCTTCGATAGAAAAAAAGATTGATGAATTTCCTTCTGTTTTATTAACCTTCTGATTAATACTCACTAACTCAAGCCTCGAATACTGCAGGAGAAGATGGAAGAGTATAATCAGGATGGGTTAATTGCAGCACAGATGACAAACATACTTGACGAGGAAGTTGTCAAGGCAGAACATATGATGAAAAAGTTGTCAGAAGAGGGATTTGAAAAACTAATGAAGGAAAATGAGTTGGATGCTATGGTGACACTAGGTTCAAATGCTGCCACAGTTCCGGCACTTGGAGGCTATCCAGCGCTAACTGTTCCCGCTGGATATGAGGACAATGGAATGCCATTTGGGATTTGCTTTGGGGGATTGAAGGGATCAGAAGCCAAGTTGATTGAGATAGCCTATTCTTTTGAACAAGCCACGAGGATGCGTAAACCTCCTCTTTCATTATCTTCTGAATTTCACTATCAGTATTATGAGTAAAGCAATGGTACCGTGTGGAAACATGAGTTTTCCACTTCATCTCACCTCCAGGTATAGCCTTCTTGTTGTGGTTTAGTTCCATTATCTCCAGTGACAATGAGTCCAAATTGTGAGACTAGGTAAGATGTCTCTAACTAATGTAGAGATACGAGGTTAATCTGGTCTCACTGTTCCATAGTACTTGCCTGTAACATCTATTATTTGAGGATATTTGACAAATAACTACTGCAATGTAAATAAGCTCTAGTTAGTTGATTCGCTAATCATAATTTTTTCTTGTCAGGACACAGGTTTTAGTTATCCCATGCTTGATATATTAGCTACATGCAATCTACGCTTTGACAGCGTTAAACAAGGCCCCTTCTACAAATATCATGGGAATCGTTTCAGAAGTTCTTACGTCTGCATTCGCATTACAGGGAAAATGAAATACTTTTGATGACTTTAGCAGTCACAGGTTATACGTGCTTATCTCACTTTTCGCAATCCGTATTTCACTTCTGCCTAGCGATCATGATGTGCTTTATTATCATGCTTCTTTTACCTTTCTTATTGAAAGTGCACACGGCTTTCGCATTTTCTTATTTTTCTTACCTCCATTAATCAGCCATACTTGCATCTTGACGTGCACACAGAACTCAGAAGCAGGCCTATTGCCTTTCTTCGTCTGATTTTTAGCTTTTTGCCTTTCCCTATGTGAGGAATTACAGATCCTCTCCTGATTCTGATGAGTGGTTCTCGGCTTTTCTTTTGAAGCTTAAGCTGGTTCACTGTCGAACTAAGTGCTGGATTCATCTGATTGATATCAGCAAAAAAATCCGACCGCAAAAGAAAAACAAAATCCAAATCTTCAGCAACACTGCCTTTATCGAAAGCCGACCTCATTAGGTCACTCTTCCTCATCTATGTATAGAAAAGATGGACGGAGTCTTTGATACGTGTTTAAACAATTTTAATTTGACCAAATACGCTTGCAGATTAGAATTGCTGAGCACTTAAATGTTCATGGAGAATTTTATATTTGGCTCAAATTTTTTGCAATTTAAAATAACTCACGATAGCGAAAAGTATAATTTAAAACGCGTCCTTTGGTATATTTAAAAAACGACATCGAGAACCAAATTTTCGTCATCTTGGGTGACTGACCGATGATATCGGTGCACAGCACAGTGATCATAAGACATTAGATGGAGAGTCTTATTGGGTGTCTGTCTTGTTCCCTTATTGGAGAGGAGCTAATTGGGGATCCGTTTCCATGCATTTGTTTATGCCCTTCAACAAATCCTCCAGCTATGTGATAAAGAGAGCATCCCCATTGCTCTTTTACAATTGAAATCTTTGGAATGCACTCGTTTACTTTTAGGGACGACGAATGAAGTTAACTCGACTCTCTGGATTCGCACCGACGACGTCGGAAATGACGTCCGGAATGATGTATTACTCTGTTTGGTATGATCTGTGGAGTTTTGAAGTCCCTCACCTCTGTTAGGCGCGAACATCTCGTGTCCTCTTTGAATTCAGTTTTGAATACTCGCCCCTCCTTTTTCTTGTTCTCTTGCCCTGCTGCGAGTTCTGCTCTGGCTTGCTCTACAACTCTCCCAAACCTCGACGAGCAGTTAAACTATGGCTACCGATCCTCCCCTTGGCTTTTACCAATCACGGGTGCTTCTTATTCTCATAGCCGCTGAATTGGTCGAGCGCCGAACCGTCGCTCTAGCTCAAGCACTCCCCCTCGAAGAAGCGAGCGCGCGCGATCTCCAACTTGCTTTCAGGCAAAACAAACTCACCTCGAGGCAGCTGACTAAGTTCTACCTCTACCGGATTCGCAGACTCAACCCGCTCCTCAGAGGGGTCATCGAGGTGAACCCGGATGCCCTGCGCCAAGCCGATAGAGCAGACCGAGAACGTAAGGCGAAGCCGTATGGCTCGCTCTCTGCCTTGCACGGGATCCCTGTACTGCTCAAGAATAACATAGCCCCCAAAGATAAGATGAACACCACAGCGGGCTCATTCGCGCTTTTCGGCTCGGTTGTGCCTCGGGATGCTGGTGTGGTGGCTCGGCTGAGGAGCGCCGGAGCCGTGTTGCTGGGGAAGGCGAGCTTGAGCGAATGGGCTCACTATCGGTCTTCTGGTGACCTCAGTGGTTGGTGTGCCAGGACCGGCCAGGGAAAGGTCAGCCAAACAACCGATCCACTTTTGTACTCTTGTCTATCTTTGCAAGGTTTAACAATTCAACTGCTTTTGTGTGAGGCTATTAGTTTAATAAAACCTCCATACTTAAAATTGCATTTCGTGAAAAAATTCGAATAGTGCTGGGCTTTTTGGCAAATGTGCATCATTACAAGAATCTGTTGGAAATTTTAAAATCATGCGCTATTGAATGCGCCATGATAGCTGCTTATGAAGCACTTGAGCTGTTTGTCCTAGAAGAGGCAGATTCGACATAATAATAGAAGGAAAGCCTCTGTTGGATCTATTTACCTGATGCATAACATTACTACATTTGAACACAGAATCCATACAATCTATCAGCGGATCCATGTGGGTCAAGTAGCGGGTCGGCCATATGCATGGCAGCGAATATGGGGGCGGTGTCGCTGGGAACAGAGACAGACGGCTCAATCTTGTGTCCCTCCAGTTCTAACTCAGTGGTGGGCATCAAACCCACTGTTGGCTTGACGAGTCGAAGTGGGGTCGTCCCGCTCGCTCCCAGACAGGACATTGTTGGGTAAGTCGTGGTGAAATACAGTGACACTCTTTATATTCACGGAAATTAATGCAAACATATGTGGGATCTCTCAGGCCAATGTGCAGGACTGTTGCAGATGCTGTCAATGTCCTCGATGTCATCGTAGGATTCGATCCTTTTGATGCTGAAGCCACGAGAGAAGCATCGAAGTACATCCCGAGTGGGGGCTACAAGCAATTTCTCAAAGCCGACGGGCTCAAAGGCAAGAGACTTGGAATCGTTAGGAACCCTTACTTCGACTACCGCTCACGATCACTGGTCGCCAAAGCATTTGAGAGCCATTTTAACACCCTGAGGTAGAGTTGATGGTGATATTAATACCCATTAGTTCCTCAAGTTTGGAATGAAATAAGGTGACATGTAATATATGCATATATTTTCATTTCTTTAATGGGCAGGAAACAAGGCGCTGTATTGTTGGACCACTTGGAACTAGCCAACATCAATGAAATCTACTCTAATAGTGGTGAAGATCTAGCGATGTCGGCCGAGTTCAAGCTAGCCCTGAATACTTACCTTCGAGATTTGGTCGTCTCGCCAGTCCGATCCCTCGCAGATGTAATCGCCTTCAACAACAAGCACAAGCACGCGGTGAGTGAGAACTATCGCATAGCAATTTATTTCACCATCTTTTCATCGACTCAAAATTACGTAGAGTCACAGAAGGTTTGGTAAACATATAGCAGAATCAAGCAAGAGGGCAGAGATCCTTACCAGGGATACATTTTAACACCCTGAGGTAGAGTTGATGGTGATATTAATACCCATTAGTTCCTCAAGTTTGGAATGAATTAAGGTGACATATAATATATGCATATATTTTCATTTCTTTAATGGGCAGGAAACAAGGCGCTGTATTAGCAGAATCAAGCAAGAGGGCAGAGATCCTTACCAGGGATACTCTGAATAATTTCTCGTTTCAACACCATCTGCAATTTACAGGCATAGATATTATCGAACACGGTGCATAAAATATGTGCAAGTACTCCTAGCGAATGGGGAGATGCGAACCTTATGGTTTTCTGATTGCGATTAATTTACCCTACCCTGTGTAACTCTAGGTTTTAGTCACCAAAATGGCTGTTCTTGCAGGAAAAGATCGACGAGTATGGCCAGGACTTGTTCCTTGCAGCGCAAGCCACAAATGGGATCGACAAGGCTGTGAAATCAGCATGGCAAAACATGGACAGATTGAGCCGAGACGGGTTTGAGAAGCTGATGAGGCAGAACAAGTTGGATGCACTGGTGACTCCTGAAAGTATAGTCAGTCAGGTTCTTGCGATCGGAGGCTTCCCAGGAATAAGCGTGCCAGCTGGATATGACGAAAATGGAGTGCCCTTTGGGATTTGCTTCGGAGGCTTGAGAGGCTCTGAGCCTACACTCATTGAAATCGCTTACGGGTTTGAGCAAGCCACCAAGATCAGGAGGCCTCCTTTGTTCAGGCGGTGACCGCGAAGATTTTCGAGTGAATATACTTGTATCTAGGTCATCAGTCTTGCGTGTGTGGTGCTTCTCTATAATTGGATTAGATCCAAACTGATGAAGCAACAGAGGAATATGCGGTCAAATTCATGCCGAATCTGGCAGGGAATATAAATCTCAAAGATTAAGAGGTGAGACTGTCGAATATTAGCGATTTAGAACGTGTTGTTCATTCATTCCTATTCTAGTATCCATAGATGCGCTGCCCATGGCTCCCCCACGGTCTATCGCAGCCTGCATCACTACTTTTCTGCCAAAGCAAAAGGTGAAGCTTATTAGTCCAATGAGGTTCATCTTTATATATTTAGTTACGAGAAGTAATGTTGGAGAAATGAAGGGACAGAAGACAAACCGACTTGGAAACATGGTCGTATGGAGAGAGGATTGGAAATTGAAAAGAACTTGGTGCCCATAAATGAACATACGAGGTTCTGCAAAACTCAATCCAAGAGAAAACTAGAAGTCAAGGATTACAAAGAGCATCAGAAGGACAAATCGGCTCAGAAGACGAACGAAGATCCTCAACATTTGCTGGGTTTTTCGGATTAGGACCTACTGCACTATTATCTGTACTTGGGACACTATCTGTTGTATTGGAATTAATCCAAATGTCTCGTATGTTTCGTTAATCATCAGTCTCTCATGAATCGGAGCCATAATGGTGCAATTTTATTGGGTAGTTTGGAGATAGAAGACATCATCGACATCTTGAATCCATATCAGATTGGTGAAATGACTCTATTGCTAGCTGAGTTCGACCACACCCTTGATGATTACTCGTAGCAATAGATAGTGATGGTGGTGTTAGATTGTTTCTATCCCAAATGAACTTTGTCTTTATCCATATTTTCACAATATCAAATGAAATGAATTTGTTGGTTCATTATAATTTTTCTTGATGCACTGAATCTGATAATTTGAATAAAATAGGTAACAGATTAAATTTCAATGACTTCAGTTTATTCTACTTTTGTTACCTTTCTACTGAGAGGCGTTGTTTATTTTTGCTAGAACCGAGCGTTTATCCAAATCTCAGAGTTAGATGAGAATTCAGATTAGACTTGTCCATTATATTAGGAGTGTCCCTACACTCCCTATTTAAGAACCCTTCAACATAATTCGTCACATGATAATACAAATCAAGGTTGATGAACAAGATGAAGGCCTGCTTCTCGATATGTATGTTCTTTGACCACCATGTCCATAGTAAGAGTCTCTCTCGCAGTGGCTGCAAACATGGTTGCTGTGTCGTTAGTGACTGAATCTGAAAGTTCCATCATCTGCGTAGCTGATCATAATTCGGTTGTCTGTTTCAAGCCCATGGTTGGACTCACTAGTCGGGCAGGCGATATTCCAATTTCACCAGGCCGACTCAATTGGGTAAACTTTCGCAGTCTGGGGCCGTGGTTCCATGATCCTACAGTTTGGTTGCTTAAGTTCTGTACTGTCTATTTAATCCATGCTCGCATATGCACGTAGATATCGTATCTACAAATATATATTGTTGCCTTGTAATTTTCATTTCCTTGTTAAGTCAGGTTTATAAGCAGAACTGTGTCGGATGCAGTCCGAGTGCTTGATGCGATAGTTGGATTTGATCCAAGGGATAAAGCTACAGGGGAAGCAGCCGAATTCATACTTCTCAGGGAAGATGGTCTTAACGGAAAAAGATTGGGCATAGTAAGAAATCCTTTTTCGAGACTCGTTTTAAGGGATGCACTACTGCTTCGATTTTTTATCAACGTCTTTGTCACTTTCTGGTGGGCATATAGTGAAATTTGCGATGCAGACCAATACCTGTTTTGAATTACGACCTACTGCACCTGTATCTGCACTTAGAAGTGTTGATATTGAAGTAATCGTAATCCAAACTGTTATTTTTGTTACATTAATCATTTTTTTTCTTTTGGTAGAAAGGAACAATGGTGCAACTTTTTTTTTTTTTCCTTACCAAAAAAAAACAATGGTGCAACTTTTGGATTACGATGGTGAAAAAAAAAAAAAAACAATGGTGCAACTTTAGTGGATAATTTGGAGATAGAAAAGATGTGGTCGTGAGCTATTTTAGCCTATTTGTTAGGCATTTATATTGTATAGATTTCTTCCTAGTATAGAATCATTCCTATTGTATATCTCCTAATTAGGGTTGTCATATGTCCTATATATATAACATGATTGAGCATTGTAAATATACAGAAAAAATATTCATTGAATACAAAAAGGAGAGTCTTTTTCTACATGGTATCAGAGCCCTAGGGTTTGATCCTTGGGGTATTGTACGTCAATCATCGACTACGGCGGTCCCGCTGTATTGCGCCGTCCGACGTGCGTCTTGCCCGATCTTCTTCGTCGCAATTCAGTTTGCGAAACTAATCTCATGGCCGACAAACGGTCGAGTGTTACAAGCGACCAAGCGGATGCTAGTGCCTGCTCGCCTCTTGCCATTGCAGCGCGAACTGCCGCTACCGCGATAGAGCGGCTCTTGACTCAAGCCGAGCCGCGCCGCCGTGTAGACAGTTAGCTCTTGAACCTGGATGAAATTACTTCTGGACGGACCTATCATTCTCGTGGACAGTTAGCTCAAGAGAAGGAACTTTGGTTATGGCACCGTTGGTTAGGTCACCCATCCTTTGGGTATTTACGGCATTTGTTTCCCAAGTTATTTCATGGTCTATCGAACTCTAGTTTTCAGTGTGATACATGTATTTTGGCAAAGAGCCATCGCACTTGTTTTCCTCCCAGTTTGAATATAAGTTCTACTCCTTTTTCCTTAATTCATTCTGATGTATGGGGTGCGTCTCCTATTACTACTGTATCTGGGTTTCGATGATTTATCATCTTTGTTGATGATTGCACACGTATGACTTGGCTATATTTGATGAAACATAAGAATGAGGCTGAAGCTATCTTTCGGACTTTCCACCGTATGATTCAGACTCAGTTTGGGGCCAAACTTCAGGTTCTCAGGTCTGATAATGGTGGCGAATACTTAAGTAAACCTCTTGTAGCTTATTTTCAAGAACATGGTTTGATACATGAAACTTCTTGCCCTCAGACTCCTCAGCAGAATGGTGTTGCTGAGCGCAAGAATCGCCATCTTCTTGAAACCACTCGAGCACTCTTGGAGGGTAGCCATGTTCCCCATCGTTTTTGGGATTCTGCCGTAGTCACAGCTGCTTATTTATTGAATCGCATGCCTTCTCGCATTCTAAGCTATCGCACGCCAATGCAAGCACTTGCTGCCCATGTGTCTCTTCCTTCGGTGCTTACATTGCCTCCTAAGGTGTTTGGGTGTGTCGCTTATGTCCATCTTCATAAAAATCAGCGGACCAAACTTGACCCTTGTGCAATAAAATGTGTGTTTCTTGGTTATGGCCCTTCTCAGAAAGGGTATCGGTGTTATGATCTTGCCGGGAAGCACACGTATGTCACCATAGATGTAACATTTATCGAGACGGAGTCCTATTTTCCTTCCCCCCAGTGTCCTGTTTAGGGGGAGACTAGTTGTAGAACCAGACATTGGTGGGAGGTAGGAATTGCAGGAACGACGGATGGGTGCGCACGGCCACATGATTCTGAGGCTGCTAAGACTGAAGATTTTGAGCTACTGCCGCATGATTCTGAGGCTGCACGACCAGACAACACTGAATTACGGCATGGGTCTGAACAGGTGTCAACAGATGCACAGCTGCAACAGCCCTCCTTGTCTTCGCCCTCTTCGCCCTCTTTAGTACCACTCCAAGCTCCTGAGAATGTACCTGAGGTAAGTACTTCTACTGTACTTGATTCTTTTGAAGATACTGATGTGCTTACTGGTTATAAGCTACCCGATAGGCATAATAGGGGTAAACCACCGAATCGATATTCTCCAGATGTAGAGGACCGCCGGTCTCGATACCCTATTGCAGACTATGTGTCTGCCAAGAGGTTGTCCACACCACTACAAGCCTTCGTGTTTACGATTTCCTCAATTCAAGTTCCAAACAGGGTTGAAGAAGCCATGAAGGATCCGAAATGGCTTCAAGCGATGGAGGCAGAGATGGAGGCGTTGGAGAAAAATCGAACTTGGAAACTTGTGGAACTACCAAAGGATAAAAAGCCGGTTGGATGTAGGTGGGTGTTCACAGTCAAACATAAGGCAGACGGCACTATTGAGAGGTATAAGGCGCGATTGGTAGCTAAAGGGTATACACAGACTTATGGGGTGGATTATCAGGAAACATTCTCTCCGGTTGCAAAGTTAGACACTATAAGAGTGTTGTTATCTCTGGCAGCAAACTTGGACTGGCCTTTGCATCAATTTGATGTGAAGAATGCATTTCTTCATGGAGATTTAGAGGAGGAGATCTATATGGAGCTTCCACCTGGATACAGATGCGCAGATAAGCCAAACATGGTCTGTAAGCTGGAAAGATCATTGTATGGGTTGAAGCAGTCCCCTCGTGCATGGTTTGGTCGCTTTAGCTCAGCTATGAAAGGGTCTGGATACTCCCAAAGTAACTCAGATCATACTTTGTTCTTAAAAGGTACTCAAGGAAGAATGACAGCTCTTATCATATATGTAGACGACATGATTATTACAGGCAATGATAGTGCAGAGATTATAAGACTGCAGGAATTATTATCTAGGGAGTTTGAGATGAAGAACTTGGGAGGTCTGAAATATTTCCTGGGAATCGAGGTTGCTAGGTCGAAGGAAGGGATTTACTTGTCTCAGCGGAAGTATGTTCTTGATCTTTTGACCGAAGTTGGCATGCTAGATTGCAAGCCTGCAGACACTCCTATGGTACAAAACTGTAAGCTTGGAGAGTACTCTGATCAGACGCCTACTAATAAAGAGAACTACCAAAGGTTAGTAGGTCGATTGATTTACTTATCACATACACGTCCTGATATTGCTCATGCAGTAAGTGTGGTGAGTCAGTTCATGCATGCACCTAGTGAGGATCATATGAGTGCTGTGTGGCGCATCATTCGATATTTGAAGTCAGCCCCAGGAAAGGGGTTCCTATTTGCAAAGAATGGCCACCTTGAAATAGAAGGTTACACAGATGCAGATTGGGCTGGAAGTGTGACAGACAGGAGGTCTACATCAGGGTATCTTACATTTGTGGGAGGCAACCTTGTTTCATGGAGAAGTAAGAAACAAAAGGTTGTAGCTGGTCTAGTGCAGAAGCTGAATTCAGAGGTGTAGCAAAGGGGTTATGCGAATTTCTATGGCTTCGGAAGCTGCTAACTGAGCTCGGGTATCCACCAGGTTTGGAAATCAAATTGTTTTGTGATAATAAAGTAGCCATAAACATTGCTCATAATCCAGTTCAGCATGATAGAACCAAACATGTGGAGATTGACAGACATTTCATCAAAGAGAATTTGGAGGCAAAAGTGATCCAGTTACCATTTGTCAAATCTGAAGACCAGTTAGCTGATATATTGACAAAGGCTTTGTCAAGTAGAGAATTTCATTGCTCACTTATCAAGTTGGGTATCAAAGATATCTTTGCACCTACTTTAGGGGGAGTGTGGTAGTGAGCTATTTTAGCCTATTTGTTAGGCATTTTTATTGTATAGATTTCTTCTTAGTATAGAATCATTCCTATTGTATATCTCCTAATTAGGGTTGTCACATGTCCTATATATATAACAGGATAGAGCATTGTAAATGTACAGAAAAAATATTCATTGAATATAAAAAGGAGAGTCTTTTTCTACAAAAGATTGACATCATCCTGAATCCATATCAGAGTGGTGAAATGGCTCTGCTGCTAGCCGAGTTCAAAAGCATATTCTAAATGTAAACTTAGGAGGACTGAGTAACTCCCAGGTGAAGTCGCTAGCGCCTTCAACTTCACCAATCCAGATTTGGTAAGTATTTGATCATAGCAACAGTGATGGAGGTCTTAGATTTTCATTGAACTCTCTTCCACTACACAACAAGATGTAGCTCACCAGTCTTGGCCAGAAAAAAAAGATCGATGAATTTCCTTCTGTTTTATCAACCTTCTCATTCACACTCACCAACTCAAGCCTCAAATACTGAAGGAGAAGATGGAAGAGTATAATCAGGATGAGTTAAGTGAAGCAGAGACGACAAACATACTTCAGGAGGAGGTTGTCAAGGCAGAACATATGATGGAAAAGATGTCAGGAGAGGGATTTGAAAAACTAATGAAGGAAAACGAGTTGGATGCTATGGTGACACTAGGTGCAGATGCTGCCACAATTCTGGCAATTGAAGGCTATCCAGCGCTTAGCGTTCCTGCTGGATATGACAACAATGGACTGCCATATGGGCTTTGCTTTGGGCGATTGGAGGGATCGGAACCCAAGTTGATTGAGATTGCCTGTTCTTTGGAACAAGCCATGAGGATCGTAGACCTCCTCTTTCGTTTTCTTCTGAATTGCACTATCTATATTGTGAGTAAAGCAATGGTTGGAGCATGAGTTTTCCACGTCATCTCACCTCCAGGTATAGTCTTCTTCTTGTGGTTCAGTTTCTTTCTTTCCGATGATAATGAGACAAAATTTCGAGACTGGTTAGCATGTCTATAACTAGTGTAGAGGTAGGAGGTACAATTTCGTATTATCTAATATCTGGTCTGACTGTTCCGTTAAGCGTTGTGTGTAACATCTGTTTCTTGAGGGTATTCGACATATAGCTGCTGCAATGTAAACAAGCTCTAGTTAGTTGATGTCGTAATCATATTTTTTTTGAATCTGGACACATGTTTTAGTTAGCCCATGCTTGATATATTAGCTACAGATGATCTAGGCTGTGACAGTGTAAAACAAGGCCCTTCTACAAATATCCTGGGAATGTTTAAGAGTTTGTCATGTCTGCGTCCTGTTACAGTGAAAATTCAACCAAACTTTGATGATTTTTAACACTAACAAGGTATTTGTGCTTTATCTCACTCGTCCCAATCATATTTCACTTCTGCCTAGCGATCACGATGTGCCTGATCATCTTGCTTCTTTCCCTTTCTTATCGAAAGTGCACACGTGTTTCCCATTTTTTTGCTTTCAATACCTCCATTATTGATGCGAAATTTATTAGTGGTTCGTTTTTGAACCGATTGGACAAACAGAAGTCCAAACGGAAAGCGAAACGGTGATGCGATTAGATGGTTTTTTTTCTATTATTTTAGTTTTTTTTTATGAGTTAGTTTTAAGGGTCGTTTTTGTAATTTTGCTATTTGATGCTTATTAACTTTCCTATTATGATTAGGTTTCCAATTCAGATTAGGTAACTTTCCTATTATGATTAGATTTTCAATTTAGATTAGGTAACTTTCCTATTATGATTAGGTTTCCTATTGTAATTAGGTTTAACCCCTATAAAAGGGTGTTTAGGGTTTGTTTTGAAGACAACATTATTATCATCACTATTGAATTTCGAGATTTTTCTCTCTAAGCAAAGTTTTGCTTGAATTATTCACTGAACGCTGCGTCAGGTGGTATCAGAGCTTATGGCGACTGGCGGTGGTCTTCGTGACGATGCTTAGGAGACTGGAGCCCCAAACCTTGGGGACGACCCGCTGCAACGTTTGGAGCAGCGTTTAATGGAACGCTTGGATCAACGATTCGATCAAAGTCTTCGTCGTTTCGAAGAACGATTTGACGAGTTAACAGAACGATTCGAAGGTCTCGGTGTTGATGTGAACCGGAATGGGCGGAACGACAGAGGCCCGGGTGCAGATCTTGCTCGCAGTGATCTGTTGATAGGCATGTTCTTGTCCGCAGGAAGAATAACCCTATGTTTTTAGAGAGTTCGGAAGAAGAAGAAACTGAAATTTTTTATGGGAAGTGTGCTGATTATGGCGGTAGACATCATCATGGAGGATTTCAAAGAGGATATGATCGGAGAGATGGAAGACGACGTTACGACGATCGTGAAGGTAACGACTTTAAATTGAAAGTCGATATTCCTTATTTTAATGAAAGTCTGGGCATAGAAGAATTTCTGGATTGGCTTGCTCATATAGATAGATTTTTCGACTATATGGAGACTCCTAGTGAGAAAAGGGTGCGATTAGTAGCCTGTAGATTAAAGGGGGGTGCGTCTGCATGGTGGGAGAGATTACAGAATAGGAGGGAACGAGAAGGGAAAGAGAGAGTTCGAACTTGGACTAGGATGAGGAGGCTGCTGAAGCAAGAATTCCTTCCACCCGACTATGAGTAGATTATGTTCCAGCAGTACCAACGTTGCCAGCAGGGCAATCGGACTGTGCATGAGTATACGGCCGAATTTATGAGACTGACGGAGTGGAATAATTTATTAGAGACGGAGGGACAGCAGGTGGCCAAATATCTCGATGGTTTGAAACCATTCATTCGAGATAAAATTGGAGTGCACTTTTTGTGAAATTTAACTGAAGCCAAGAATATGGCGATGAAGGCAGAATTGATGCAGCAAGATAGGGGAAGAAGAGGCTACGAAAATTATCGAGGTAGCAGTTCGGTAGAGAAGAGCAGTTTCAATAATCGCTTTAACGCAGGGCAAAATCAGGAAGATGAGGCTGTAGAAAAGCGCCCTATGAACGATGCGAGGGATAAGGGAGCGCAAGCACAGAGAACTGCGAATCCTAACCCTTATGCTAAACCAGCCGCGATAAAGTGTTACAGGTGTAATCAGCCTGGGCACCGATCTAATGAATGCCCTCAGAGAAAGGCCGTAAACGTAGTAGCGAGAGAAGAGGAGGAGGATGGATATTGTTGTGCGCCGGATGGTGAGGATGATGATTTTGAAGATGAAGAAGAGGAGCAAGTAAACTGTATGGTGCGCAGAATGATGTTGGCCCCAAAACAGGAAGATGATTCGCAGCGCCATCAGTTATTCCGAATCAGGTGCACCATTCTGGGAAAAATTTTTACTGTGGTTATTGATAGTGGAAGCATGGAGAATATTATTGGGAAGGAGGCAGTGAAGAAGTTGGGAATACCCGTGGAGAAGTATCCTAATCCCTATACGTTAGGATTGATTAAATCTGGAGCGGAAAACATTCAGGTGATTGAACGATGCAAAATTCCATTCTCCATTGGAAAATATCATGATGAGCTATATTGTGATGTAGTAGACATGGATGTATGTCATGTGTTATTTGGGAGACCGTAGCAATTTGATGTAGATGCTCAGCATTCGGGAAGAAGCAATCAGTATAACCTTGTGAAGGATGGAGTGAAGTATACGTTACTGCCATTGAAGAACAAAGGAAAACAAGCTACTAAAAATAATTTCCTTACCCTTACGAGGAAATTTGAAGCTGAGGTTAAGGAGACCCGACAGATTCACGTGCTGGTCGTGAAACAAGCAATTGAGACTGAGGCTGAATTACAAGTGGAGGAGCAGCCTGAAGCAGTCAAGCCTTTATTGAAGGAATTTAGCGAACTGATGCCTGAAGAGATTAAAGATGGGTTGCCGCCTATGCGTGATATTCAGCACCATATAGACTTAATTCCTGATGCTAGTCTGCCAAATTTACCGCACTACAGGATGAGTCCAAAAGAGAGCGAGATTCTAAAAGAGAAGGTGGAAGAGTTGTTACGAAAGGGACACATTCAGAATAGCATGAGCCCATGTGCTGTTCCGGCTTTGTTGACTCCTAAGAAAGATGGGAGTTGGCGGATGTGTGTAGATAGCAGGGCCATTAATAAAATAACCGTGGGTTACAAGTTTCCAATTCCGAGATTGGATGACATGCTGGATAGGTTGCACGGTGCTAAGTGGTTCTCGAAGCTGGATTTGAAGAATGGATACCATCAGATTCGAATTTGGCCCGGAGATGAATGGAAAACAGCTTTCAAAACAATGGAGGGGTTGTACGAATGGTTAGTGATGCCTTTCGGACTTTCTAATGCTCCAAGCACTTTCATGAGGCTTATAAATCAGGTTCTGAAATCTTTTATTGGCAAATTTGTTGTAGTTTATTTTGATGATATCCTGATTTATAGTAAGACCGAGGAGGATCATCTATTGCACTTAAGGGAGGTGTTGACAGCTTTGCAGATTAATAACCCAACAACTATCATTATACATATACATCTATCTCAACTCAAAACCAAAAATCAAACTACCCAAAGTTCCCTGCTGATAGCGCTCCCGTTCTCCTTGTCTCTAGTTGAAGAACTCAAAAGATTTATGATGAATGGTATGAACAATCATAGTCCAGTGAGTAATATAAATCTCTTCTAAGCAAATCGAGCATTTACTATGCATATTTACAAAACCATACCAATAACTCATTTAACCAAATTAAATGTATAATATATGTGCAATATTAAAAATGAGTTATATCATTTTTAACAAAAATTTTATACGTATTATATCAATCAACACTATCAAATCAAAAATCAATAGTCCATTCAATTAATTAATTTAGTGCTCAATATTAAACTATGATCACGCTTAACGCTCTATGAAAAAGGCGACCAAGATCCCCATTGGCAAGGTCTCCAACTATATCAGCGGGTGATTCGGCCCAGAGGGATGTCTTGAAAATAGTATGCAGACTCAAACCCTCAAAGGGTTCTAAATGTAGCAACAATGAACATCAAACCATTAACTCATCCTCCAAATATCCACAAATCAAATTTAGAATCCATCTTATAAATTAGTTTCACAAACCAAAACATATAACCTTTCACAATTCAATTTATCAAATATGTTGACACCTAAATTTTGGCGTATCATTTAGTGTAATTTGCATAGAAAATTAGGGATTAAATTTTTAACCCCTAAACAAAAATATTTAAATTGCATAAACATATAATTGAGGTCCATTTAATTTAATTGCATTTTTTGCATCAGATTGGCAGTGGCGAATGAGCTTAAAATTTCATCGAACGAGACTCGGCTCGCTTGGAATGCAAGGGCCGGGAATTACAAGTCAAACGGGCTCGGTTGTTTTAATTTGAGCTTAATTCAGCCCATTATCCTTAATTAATTCAGCCCATTTAAATTAAATTAAAATCTAAGCCCAAGCCTAAGCCCATTAAGACTAGGAAGCCCGGTTAATTAACCTAGGGTTGCGATATAAATATGTCGTTATGCGTCATAATCAAGGGGGCGCTCATAATTTTCAAGTTCAGAAATTTCAGAGAACACGCCAGTGAAAGAAAGAGAGAGACAGAGTCAGTTGCGCGTGTGTGAACCACCGCCACGCCGCCCTTCCATCGTGTCCGCGACACCCCTGTTGCCACTCCCACGTTGCCTCCGCCACCGAGTCTGACTAGCGCCCGCCGAGCTCGGCTGCTGTTCTGCCCTGCGTCACCTTTGCTACCCGCTGCCGTCCCTAGGTGACCCGAGCTGCTGCTGGTCGAAGCCTGCTCCCGTTGCTGCCGACGATCCACTACCACTGCACCAGCTGCTGCTGCCGGCGCTCGCGTCCCTCTGCTGTCCAGACCAGCAGTGGAGGAGCCTAGATCAACGCCAAACACGGTCAAATCAAGCGTGTTTGGTAATTGAATAGACAAACCCACGTGAAGTTGAAGAAAGAGTCCAGGTGTCTAGCAATTCCACTGGTCCATGTTCGTGGAAATTTGGTCAACAGTTGCTGCCCCCAGGTTCCGCTGCTGCTTCCTTCGCGGCGCTTGAGAATCCCGCTGCTGTTGTCGCCGCTGCACTCACACCAACGCTGCTGCTGGTCGCTACCCTTGCTCGCACGAGGCCAACCCCGACGCCGGCTGTTCCTTTGGTTGCGTTCCGTGCGACGCCTGTCCCACCACAACGCCGACATCCTCCGAAGTTGCTGCCATCCCCGACGTTCGTCGCCCTCCCGTGGTGAGCTGCTGCTGTTCCGTGACTTCCGAAGACCACTCGTCGCTGCTATTGTCGACCCGTGCAAGCTCGTTCAGTACCGCCGCTGCTGTCCCGCGGTGAGTCACTGCCCGTCTCGATCCGTCGGCCACTGTTTCGCCGCTCATCGCAATCCGCAATCCCGATCCGCAAGTTCGAATTTCGAAAATATCCGCAAATTAAGAAAGATCATTATCCGAATATTTTTTGAAATATTTAATTCCTTAAGTTTTCGGTGTTTGAATATTTCGTGGATATTATTTGGTGGATTGCTAAATCTTAGGATAATATTTGGGATATCCGCAATATTTGAAACACTTAAAATTAGGAATTTTGCCTAATTTAGCAACGTATCTGGATGACTATTTGAACTTATCCCTAAGGTACGATACGCGGCGATACGGAAAATCGTTATCTTGTCCATAATCACTTGGACACGATAATAGATTTTATTTGCTTTCCGAATTTGACCAATCAACTTTCTGTCGATATCTATAACCCTATAGATATGACCGTTAGTTTGATTTCTTTGCCTCATTTAAATTTGATAAGAAAAATTTTGCGAATTGTGGATATTGATTTGATGGTGGTGTTTATCTCTTATTTGATTTTGTTTCTTTAAAAGAAAAGCCAAAAAGATTAGATGCAATTTGAATTGATTTCTTTGAAGATAATGTTGCATGTTTAGAATATATCTAGATAACATTTTTTTGAATAGAATAGGACAACCAAGATTTGCTAGAAAGATAAGATAATTTCTAATTTAAATTAGGAATTAGGGTAATTTGTTTCCTAGTTTAATTAGATATTATTCTAACCTTGATAGTTCATTTCGGGTTGATTTTAATTTCGAATTTCGATAAAAAAAATACCAAAAAGAGTGTTCTAGAATAGGTTAATTTGCTTTCTTTAGTCTAAAATTGCATGCTTAGATAATTGGCATTTTTTATTTCGAATTTCATTGAAAAATACCAAAAATAAATCATTTGTCTGTCATTAGAATTAGGTCACGTCGTCGCGTGTCATATAATTTGCATGTAGGTTGCATTAATCGCATGTCATTTTCGCATGTCATTGCATATAGGCTAGATTTCATTTAAATAAGTGAAAATCCAAAAAAAGAATTGAGTGAATTGCTTGTTAATTAGAAATCATATTAGGGTGTCAATGTGATTTTCTAGCTAACAATGCAGATGCTTACGTTGCTTCCAGGTAAGTAATTCTTCCAAACTTGTAATTTATTTAATGCTTTCTGGGTGTTAAATTGGTGGTTTGCGCACTCGCATGAATACCTCACATGTTAGTAATTAAGTTGAAATGGATCTAAACTGCCTGCCAAAATATTTTTGAAAAGAAAAGGTACCGAATGGGCGTTAGACTAGATCTAGCGTAATCAAGTCCCCGGGCTTAGAATCTCTGGTTCGTAGGAATAAAACATATCTCTCTATGTTTTATTTAGGTTTCTAATCAACCTACCATAAATTGATTAGTGGCGACTCCGAGCATAAAAACTTTTGCATGTTAAAAAATTAAACTCTAAGTTGCGAATTGGTAGGGCTTGGGAGGGCCCGAGTTAAGATTAGTCTTAATAATCCATTAGCCCGAAAAATGAGGAATTTTTTTTTAGGTCGCGACAAAATAGAATACACTTCATAAAACATTTCATAAATCAATACATATAACCTTTGGTAATTCCTTTCACAAAGCATTTCTCAAAACATTCATAAATGATCACGTCAAATTATTTCAAACAATGCATTCCAATGCCATTTCAACTTATCATATGCAAGAATATGGTCTTTCATAACTCATATTATATCAAATTTCTGCCACTTTTAAGACATCAGTTTACAAATATATCATAAAAATTAAGCACCACTCATATGGAATGCCAAAACCAAACAAGGAAAGCTACTCCAGCCGACGAACTTGAATTATATAAATTAAGCGAGAAACGAAAATAAAAAATCAAGCAAATAACTTCTTTAGTGAAGATTTGATTAAACTACACTTATTTGACAATCAAACAACTCCCACGTGCTTAGGAAAAGCCCGCTCAAAGCAATTATTCATTGTTGTCCGCTACGCGTAGTTTGCTTGCCGAAATTTTAAAAATTCGCTCCGACCAAGCCGTAATTCAGAATCGATTTTCGTCAAATCTCACGGCTCTGCGACACCCTGAACTCTCGTTACGATATAATTTCACGGTTTTAGCAACTCCAAGATTGAATCCAGCAAACTGAAATTTACATAGATCCTAATTCACAGCTCGGTTTTGAAATTTCCTCCAATGAACAAAAAGTTCGAAATTCTTACCGTGCGCTATTAAAGAAAGTTAATCCAGCTTTGATCAGGTCCATGTGCCCGTGCAAAACAACCCCCGCCGCCCCCCTTCTTTTTTTTCAAGCCCATTTTTTTTGACCGGGTGACTGTCATTTTTCATTTTTTGTTTTTTTAACGCCAATGGTTACAAGGTCACTCGGTTAGGTGTGAACATTTGAAACCCCGCACCAATTGTTTTTTTGTCTTCCTCTTACAGAGCGTGCAGGACTGGAACCCCGATAGCCAGTACGCAAGTGGCCCAGTCGTGTGGTGTGCACTTGATTGTATGCTCTTTGAATTGAGATATGTAAACTCGCCCCTTGATTTGTCGTTCTCCTACTTATTAATCTGCTGTGAGTTCGTCCCCAACTTCACCCAAACCTCGAAGAGCAGTGAAACTATGGCTACCGGACCTCCCCTTGCCTTATCTCAATCACGAGCGCTTCTCATTCTCTTAGCCATTGTATTAGTCGTGCTCCGAGCCGCCCCTCTAGCTCAAGCACTCTCTCTCGAAGAAGCGAGCGCGCACGATCTACAACTCGCTTTTAGGCAAAACAAACTCACCTCAAGGCAGCTGACCAAGTTCTACATCGACCAGATTCGTAGACTCAACCCGCTCCTCAGAGGGGTCATAGAGGTGAACCCGGATGCGCTGCGCCAGGCCGATAGCGCGGACCGAGAACGTAAGGCGAAGCCACGTGGCTCGCTCTCTGCCTTGCACGGGATCCCTATACTGCTCAAGGATAACATAGCCACCAAAGACAAGATGAACACCACGGCGGGCTCACTCGCACTTCTCGGCTCTGTCGTGCCTCGCGATGCTGGTGTGGTGGCTCGGCTGAGGAGGGCCGGAGCCGTGTTGCTGGGGAAGGCGAGCTTGAGCGAGTGGGCTCACTATCGGTTTTCTGGTGATTACAGTGGATGGTGTGCCAGGAGCGGCCAGGGAAAGGTCAGCCAAACAACCGATTCGCTTTTCTATTCTTGTCTATCTTTGCAAGGTTTAACAAACTCAAATGCTTTTGTGTGAGGCTATTAATTTAATCATACCTCCATACTTAGAGTTGCATTTTGTGAAAAAAATATTCGGAAAGTGCCACAGCACAGGGATCAATCATTACAAGAATCTGTTGGAAATAGTAAAATCATGAGCTAGTGATTGCGCCATAATAGCTGCTTATGAAGCACTTGAGCTGTTTGTCTTAGAAGGGGCAGATTCGACATAATAGTAGAAGGAACGCCTCCTTTGAATCTAATTATCTGATGACTAAAGTTAATGCATATGGAACACAGAATCCATACAATCTATCGGCGGATCCTTGTGGGTCAAGCAGCGGGTCGGCCATATCCGTGGCAGCGAATATGGGGGCGGTGTCGTTGGGAACAGAGACGGACGGCTCAATCTTGTGTCCCTCCAGTTATAACTCAGTGGTGGGCATCAAACCCACCCTTGGCTTGACGAGCCGAGGTGGGGTTGTCCCCATCACTCCCAGACAGGACACTGTTGGGTAAGTCGCGGTGAAACACATCGACACTCTTTATACTCACGGAAATTGCTCCAAACGTATTAACCACTATATGTGGGATCTCTCAGGCCAATGTGCAGGACTGTTGCAGATGCCGTCGACGTCCTCAATGTCATTGTAGGGTTCGATCCTTATGATGCTGAAGCCACGGGAGAAGCGTCGAAGTACATCCCGAGAGGGGGCTACAAGCAATTTCTCAAAGCCGACGGGCTCAAAGGCAAGAGACTCGGAATCGTTAGGACCCTTTACTTCGACTACCTCTCAGGACCTGGAGTCGCCAAAGCATTTGAGAGCCATTTTAGCACCCTGAGGTAGAGTTGATGGTGATATTAATACCCATTAGTTCCTCAAGTTTGGAATGAATTAAGCTGACATATAATATATGCATATATTTTCATTCCTTTCATGGACAGGAAACAAGGTGCTGTAGTGTTGGACCACTTGGAACTGGCCAACATCAGTGAAATCTACTCTAATAGCGGTGAAGATGTAGCGATGTCGGCCGAGTTCAAGTTAGCCCTGAATACTTACCTTCGAGATTTGGTCGTCTCACCAGTCCGATCCCTCGCGGATGTAATTGCCTTCAACAAGAAGCACAAGCGTGAGGTGAGTTAGTACTATTACATAGCAATTTATATCACCGTCTTTAATCGACTCAACATCACTTAGAATCACATAATGTTCTCAAGCAAGAGCGCAGAGACCCTTACCAGGGATGCGCTGAATAATTTCTCGTTTTTACCCCATCTGCAACTTACAGCATAGATATATGCGAACGGTGTGACTCTAATTTTAGTCACCAAAATGGCCGTTTCTTGCAGGAAAAGATCGATGAGTACGGTCAAGACTTGTTCCTCACTGCGCAAGCCACGAATGGGGTCGACAAGGCCGTGAAATTGGCACGGCGAAAAATGGACAAATTGAGCCGAGGCGGGTTTGAGAAGTTAATGAGGCAGAACAAGTTGGATGCATTGGTGACTCCTGGTTATCTGGTCAGTCGGGTTCTTGCGATCGGAGGCTTCCCAGGAATAAACGTCCCCGCCGGATATGACGAGGGTGGAGTGCCCTTTGGGATTTGCTTTGGAGGCTTGAGAGGCTCCGAGCCTACGCTCATTGAAATCGCTTACGGGTTCGAGCAAGCCACCAAGATCAGGAGGCCTCCTCCGTTCAAGCAGTGACCGCTGATGATTATCGAGTTAATGTATGTGTTTCGGTCCGAGCTCTTGCGTGTGTGGTGCTTCTCTGTTATTGGATTAGATCCAAGTGACGAAGCAACAAAGGAATAAGCAGCCGCGTTCATACCGACTGGCGGTGAATAAAAGTTACAGGGATTAAGAAGTGAGACTGTCAAACAATAACGATTTAGAATGTGGTGTTCATGCGTTCCTGTTCTTATATCCGTAGATGCAACTACCAATGAACCAATGACTCTCCCACAGTCCATCGAAGCCTTCATCACAACTTCTCTGCCAAAACAAAAAGTGAAGCACGTCAATTGAGAATTGAGAAATTATATTTAAAGTACTCAAAATACAGATTCCGTTTTGGCCACAAAAAAGATCATTGGTTGAAGAGACTCAAATTGCACGGTAAACAAAGAGTCTACAAATACTGGGAAAATTGTCCAAACTTATTGTACATGAGCCAATTCAGTCTTAAACATTTTGAGTGTGTCATTTTAAGACTAAAATGGCATACTTAAGGACTAAATTGACAAATCACCAAAAGGTTGAGGACTAAAATGACACATTTAAAAGGTTTAGGACTTGAATTGGCTTTTGTACAATAAATTTAGGAATTTTTGGACAATTATCTCATAGATACACGTATGTTGTAAAACTTGAAAAAATGGACCAGTCAATTGTAGAGGAATGGTAGAAGTCTTGGACTAAGTAACCCTTTTACTGGGGTTGTTACCCGCAACATGATCAGGCTCTATGTGATTCCTTATTCTCGGCATTGTACTTCCTCAAATCGACCACACTGGTCCTAATGGACGTGCCAAAAAAATGTTTCGCCGGAATTTAATCAACAATAAAAATATGAAAACTACAATTAAGATAGACACCGAAATGACAACAAAGTATCTGGGAACTACAGTCATAACTATAGTGCATAAATTGAAAGATAACTAAAAGATAACAAGTTGTTTGTTCCAGGAGGTTCCGAAGAGTACGATAAAGCTATTTAAAGTCTACAATCGACAGTTACCAATGGAGGTTACAAACGGATGTTATAACTAGAGTTTACAAATGGTTACCAAATGGTCATCAATGATTACATCGATTCTATTACATTGATCATTTCATCGACTCCACCATCATGACGATTTCTTCAACTCCACTATCTTGAGGTTATTCTATTCCACTACATTAACGTTTGCATCCGCAAAATTGTTGACACTACTTTTTGTCGATTCCTTCAAGCTGTCGACTCGTCAAGGTTTAGACTTAATTGGCACAATTAAAAGGTTTATGACTGAATTGGTAAAAATGCAATAAGTTTAGGACTTTTTGGACAACTTTCCCAAAAGTGAAGTACCGTGTGGCAAGCACTTATAGTTAAAATTTCATAAGTGCTCCTTTTCCAAATAAGTAATTAAAATAAAAGAAGAATCAGAAAAGAGTGCTTAATTCCAAATTTTGCATGGCGAAAATTTTTTGATGGTGTTAAGAAAATGGGATAAAAATTTTGAGGTTGAGAGGTTTTGAACTAACACAGCAACCTTAGAGAAGGATATTTTAATTTACATAGAGTAAAGAATCTAAGACGATGCAAAAGGAAGACTAAGATATATATCATATGACTAGTGAAAGTGAGATGTTGAACAAGGTCGCAATGTGTGGTGACTAGGGGTGTTTCTCCTATGGAATCTCTTCAATAGAAATATGTTTCAAACTAATTCGAGAGTGAGCGAGCGAGTAATCGAGCTAGCTAGTTTTAGCACTAGCCGTCATTCAAGCTACGATGATAGCCAACGCGCCGCTTGCTCTCGTCATGGCTCATGACACCCATAAGGTGGCGACTTGGTTCGGTAAGCTCAATCATTCGAAGCCGAATACTGCGCACTTGCACTTCTATTTCCACAACAATCTCCTAGAAGAGCCCGACTGCGGTGCTTGTCATTGAGGTTACAATGACCGAGAAGTCCCCGATTCTTTCAGCATGAAGATGATGAATGGATGATCCACCGACAAAAGGGCCTGAGCTGACATCTATCCGTCCTCGGCGGGGATCGTGTCGCCGGGCCTGCTCAAGAACATGAACCTCGTTTTCAATGAAAGCACCCTGAGCATTACGGGTCGCGACATGACTTACGAATCTAGTAGGGAGATTCCTACAATGGACGGGACCGTTGTTTTCCGGTTGTCTAGTGGACTTGCCATCAATGGTGTCATCGAGGTAATCTCTTTTATTTCTCAGTTTTTCGCGGGAACATTTTTCCATTGAAACCATCAAGAGATGCTTTGGAGGTCCCTAACACTAAAAACCAAATGATAAAAAGAACAAAAAAAATTCTGATCTCGTATTCCGAGACACCAGGCGACTCGACCTAGAGAAGAGACACTGAATGAACAGAAAGATTTCGTCTCTTTCTCCTCCTTAAAATGCGTATCTTATACTAAGAATCTTTCAAATGTGCCACCGCGGGACTCTCCACCAAAATCCAAATTTCTATGAGGAACCGAAACCGCAACTATCTAATTCATTGAAGCGTAGGAAAGTGATTAAATAATTATAATCACTATCTGCTAATCAAAGACGACCTCCACACGTGCCAACCCCTACACTAAGAATAAAGACATATTGCAAAGAAAAGTGTATTGCCTACATTCACGTTGCACAGCTCGAGCATGCTAGGGAGAGAGAGAATAATTGACCAGAACGGACGTATTTGGTATGGTTTAATATGGTCTGAGAAACTTCACGACAAACCAAGGGCCAGTATCCAATAACGTGAATTGCGATATTTTATTACTTCCAATTGAAATCATGAACGTTGATGTGAGAGAGTAGAGCATATTGGAAAGTGTCTACATTAGTTTGCATTGCATTGATTACGAGATCGCTTCATATTTGCGAAAAACAGGCTATTATAAAAAGATTAGACAATGCATGAAAACATGGTACAATCCATTTTCGAATTATATTGGGTTTTGCACATCTTGGTCTGGTAGAAAGGTGGTAGGACAGCTCACTACGGTTGGAGTGTTTTAACAGTGACTGGTGATGGATGGGTCCATTAGACGCGATTATATACGAATGGCTAGAGTCCCCTCTCCATTTCCAAACGTACATACTTTAGGATTCTATCCATCAAGAGAGATTGGAGAGGACGACCTAAGTAAGGAGGCTATGTGGATTCTGCACATTGTCCATTTGGTTTAATATAAGTGTTATTCGAATTATTGTTTAGGTGTTCTGAATCTCTGCAATATATGGTGATCTTGGATTGAACGTTTCGTTCATATTAGATTAGCAATTTTCTTACAGAGTTTTCGTCATCAACAATCCTTATATTTTGGAGAAACGTAATATGCTAATGTAATTCTTTTCCTACATTCAAAATTTCGACTAGTGATGAGAAATTACTATACCTTTATATGTCCCTCACATGTAGAATTCAGGAAAAAGGACACCCAAGTTCTATAGTTTTAGTACGGCAGTCACTTTGGTACTATAACTTTTCGATCGATCACCCGACTGCCATTAATCTTATTTAAACAAAGTCACTACAAGTACTATAAATTTCAATGCCACGTTTGCTTTCTAGCCAAAGGAATCGCCGACATCACTCAAATAAGCCTTTTTGTTTTCAAAGTTATGGCATTTAAGTGATCGTTTAAAATGTTATTACACCAAAATAAGCATTATATGAAAAGTATGACATTTGTGATTTTTTTTTCTTTTAAAAATCATTTCCCTCTTTTAACATGTTCTCTCCTGCAAAGCATGCCTTTTTTTTCCTAGAACGTGCAAAGATGCCATTTATATTGATTTTATTGGTTTCAAATCCAAATCGAAAACCGCTAAGACGATGACTTGATAGCATCACCAAAATGATGGGGTCAATCGCTAAAAAAAAGCACGATCAATTAGTGATTGGTTTCGACATCTTCTGTTGTTTCGATCTCTAAAGGCGTCTTCTTCTTATAGGTATCCTTTTGAGCTCATTTTCGCCTGTTAAATCTTTCCGATGGTATCAACTTTCCAAACGATATCAGATTGAAAGAGAGAGTGGCAAAGCTAGGTTTAACGGCAATGGGCGGTGGTCCTTGCTCTGGTGGCCACGGCTGCAACCCTCGCCCATGCTGAGGCGGATAACCCTGAGAAGATGGACGAGTGGTTCAATAGGCTTAGCAACGCCAAGCGCAAGACCACACGCCTCCACTTCTACTTCCACGACATGCTCTTGGGCAAGAGCCCCACGGCGGTGCGCATCGCCGAGGCCGCGATGACCAAGAAGTCCCTAACATCGTTCGGGTTGGTCAACATGATCGACAACCCACTGACCGAGGGGCACGAGCTAGAGTCCCCCCTCGTGGGCTTGGCCCAGGGGTTCTATGGCTACGCCGGGATCGAATCACTGAGCCTATTCATGAACGTGAACCTCATATTCACGAGCCCGAAGTACAACAGCAGCACTCTGAGCATAATGGGCCGCAACTCGGCGCTCGAGACCTATCGGGAGATGCCCATCGTCGGAGGGACCGGCTTTTTCCGGTTGGCGAGCGGAATTGCGACGACAAAGACATACTTTCTCAACCTCACCACCGGCGATGCGGTAGTTGAATAGATATGCATTACTAGACAGTACACAGTACACACTCATTGGATAAGCCATGGCTAATGTTGTCGTCCATTTCTCTTTTTCTTTGTGACCTTTGGCTTTGCGGGATTCAAAGGTTATGGGGTAATCATATCGTTGTAGTTTGTGTGTGGATGAGTTGTTTCTAATTTGGTAATGCTCTACGTGCTTTCTGATTAAATTGGACGGTATGGTATCTTCTTGTGTGACCTTAGGTGAAACTAAATTGGACTCAGGGTTTATCACTAGCTAAAACTACATCGAAATAAGTCGTGTTAGAGTAGAGTAGGATTTAAAACGCTTTCTCTAGTTTATCCTTTACTACGTTTAAACTCAATGAGAGGATAAAATGTTCATGTAGTTTCTCGTTATTTATTTGCTGAAATTTAGATCCAATAAAAAGTAGAAATTGATGCATAACAAATCATTAAGCTAAAAGCTTATTCGCAGAATCTCTCAATTTTGGCTTTAACTTTCTTATAGATTGAACTATTAAAATTTGGAGAGAGCTCCTTTCTCATAGAGATAAAAAGAACGCTTGATTCCAATTTTTCTATGGGGAGAAAATTTGAGGTTGAACTAATGTGAATTATCCCTCTTTAGATCGGATGATGCCGATTTTAGGATAATCCAGTACATAATTTGAGGTTGAGAGGTTTTCGACTAACCCGGCAACCCTAGAGGAAAATTTTTGAGTTTAAGGGTCCATTTGTTTCATTGAAAATGAATAGTTTGAAAAATATTTTCCTAAAAATTATCGCTTGAAATGATTAGTTAATAAAAAATATTTATATTATCGACAATAATTTATATTTAAATATTTTTCTTTCATTTATTTTTTAAATGACACAAACGATTACTTTTTAAAAAAATTAAATAATTTATTTTTGATGAAATAAACGGAGTTTAAGACTATGCAAAAGTAAAGACTGAGAGATATTAATTATATGACTAGTGGAAACTGAAATGTTGAACACGGTCACATCGTTTGGTGACTACAGGTGCTGCTTCTCGCTTTCTCCTATGAAGAACTCTCTTCAGTAGTACCGTATTGCAAACTGAACTGGGAGAGAGCGAGCAAGTTTTAGCATCAGCAGCAATTCTAGCAATGGTGTCGCCGCTCCGTCGTGCCGCGGCTGATGACCCCTGGAAGGTGGCGACTTGGTTTGCTAAGCTCAACCGTTAGAATCGAAAACTGCATACCTTCGCATCCATTTCCATGACACAATCTCCGGGAAGAGCATGATTGTGGTGTGCGCCGCCGAGGCTACGATGATCGAGAAGTCCCCAACTCTTTCCGGCACAATAATGATGATGGATGATCCGCTAACAAAAGGATCAAAGGATCAAGCCGACATCTCCCATCATCAATCGGGCCCAAGGTTTGCATGGCTAGGTGGGAACGTTGTTTTCCGTATGTCAAGTAGAATTGCCATGGCCACGACGTATTATATCAATACCACACCTGGGATGTGATCGTTGAGTATTACATCATTGCAGAGGAAATCACCCAAAACGTTATAAACCTATTACACGATTATCAATTCAGTCCTAAACTTTTCAATTTATCAATTTAGTCCTAAATCTTTGAGTGAAAGTTGTGAAAATTAACCGGATATAATTCATTTGAATTTCACGCAAAAATTTAGAACTAAATTGGCAAAATTAAAAAGTTTAGGACTAAATTAGCATCCGTACAATAAGTTTATGACTTATTAGGTAATTTCCTCATCGTTGCATGCTCTCTTTATTCACATTTAAATAAACAACGTATTTTTAATCTCATTCATATTTCATATTTCATATTTCTTTGGTCCTTATTATATGATCTCTTACAATCGATTATAAATGTTTTGTCAAGGAAGTTACAAGGGTCGGAAATTTTATTGATGAGAAGACTTTAACTTGACAACATAAGTAGATTTGATGCAGTAAAGGGTCATACCTGACGAAACCTCTTCATAATTGTGGAAGACCGTGAAGATACATCAGTTGATTGTTATGCTAGGTGCGAAATTTTGAAGACTGTATTTGAAATATAGATTTAGGCTTCGTTTGTCTAGTTGAAAATGAATGATTGGAAAAGTATTTTCGCAACTCCACTTAAATCCAAGTTTTTACAAGAGACCGAACCCACAATTATCTATATCTGCATTAAAGCATAGAAAAGCGATTAATTGATTATTATCGCTATTTGCAAATTAACAACGACTTCCCCACCTGCCAACCCCTACGCTCAGAATAAAGAAATTGTCTTACATTCACATTGCGCAACTGGGTCATGTTAGGTAGAGAGCGAATAATTTGACCAGAACCGACATATTTGGTATGGTTTGAGAAGCTTCACGACAAACCAAGTGCCAGTATCCAATAACGTGACACGATATTTTACTTCTTCCGATTGAAATCATGAACGTTGATGTGAGAGAATAGAGCATATTGGAAAGTGTCTACATTAATTTGCATTGCATTGATTACGAGATCATTTTAGTTTTGCGAAAAACAGGCTACTATAAAAATATTAGACAATGCATGAAAACTTAGCAAAATCACATTTTCGAATTATATTGGGTTTTACACATCTTGGTCCGGCAGAAATGTGGTAGGACGGCTCACTACGGGTGTAGTGTTTTAATAGTGACTGGTGATGGATGGGTCCATTAGACGCGATTATATACTAATGGCTAGAGTCCCCTCTCCATTTCCGAACGTACATACTCTAGGGTTCTATCCATCAAAAGCCGTCATGGTAAAAGGGAGATCGAAGATGACAACCTAAGTAAGGAGATTTTGGATCGAACGTTTCGTTCATATTAGATTAGTGATTTTCTTACGGAGTGTTCGTCATCAATAATTCTTATATTTTGGAGAAACATAATATGCTAATGTAATTCTATTGCTACATTCAAAATTTCTATTAGTGATAAGAAATTACTATACCTTTATATGCTCCTCACATGTAGAATATAGGAAAAAGGACATCACGAGTTCTATAGTTTGAGTGTGGCATTCACTTTGGTGCCATAACTTTTCGATTAACCACCCGAGTACCATTAATCTTATTTAAACGAAGTCACTACAAATACTATAAATTTCATAATCATGTTTGATTTTCTAGCAAGAAGAATCGCCAACGTCACTCAAATAAACGTTTTTTCAAAGTTATGGCATTTAAGTAATCGTTTAAAAAGTTATTACCCCAAAATAAGCGCTATATGAATGTTACGGTATTTGTGAAATTTTTTTTCTTCTAAAAATTATATGCCTCTTTCAACATGTTCTCTCCTGCAAAGCATGCCCTTTCTTTTCCTAGAATGTGCAAAGATGCCATTTATATTGACTTTATTAGCTTAAATCCAAATCGAAAACAGCTAAGACGATGACTTGATAACGTCACCAAAATAATGTAGTCGATCGCTAATCGCTAATAAAAAAGCACGACCAATTAGGGCCCGTTTGGTAACGTGCTAAATAGTGAAAATTTCTGTTCTTTTGTTTCTAGAAATAGTTTGGGAACAGAAATGCGTTTGGTAAACTTTTTGTTCTTGGGCACATTTTTGCAAATATTTGTGCCGAGAAATAGTTTTGGAAGAGAAACAAGAAGTAAAAAAAAGTTACTTCTTGTTTCTCGGCACAATTTTGAGAATCAGTTTTTTTTTTCTTTTTCTTTTTTTTCTTTTCTTCTTTTTGTGTTGTTCTTCCCTGGGTTGGGCCGGCGGCCGGCCACAGCCCAGGGCCGGCGGCCAGCCACAGCCCAGGGCCGTGACGCCCTCACCGGCCCTGGGTTGTGGCCGGCCGCCGGTCGCTAGCGACCGGCCATGGCCAAAGAAGAAAATAGATAGAAAGAAAAAAAAAATTAAACAATTCAAAATATTATTAAAATATTATTTGGGAACAGAAATTTTGTGTAGTTACCAAACGCATTTATGTTCTTTTCTACTCTAGGAATAGAAATTTTGGACAGTTTATCAAACGCCTTCAAATACTCAGAAATTGTTTCCGGGTACAGAATCAAAAAAAAATCATTTATGTTCAGAAATAGCTCCCGGGCATAGAATGGTATTCATGCGCACCCTTAGTAATTGGTTTCGACAGCTTCTATCATTTCGGTCTCTAAAGGTGTCTTCTTCTTATAAGTATCCTTTTGAGCCCATTTTCGCCTGTTAATTCTTTCCAATAGTATCGACTTTTCACGCGATATCAAATTGAAAGAGAGAGATGGCAAAGCTAGGTTTAACGGCAATGATGGTGGTGGCTCTTGCTCTGGTGGCCACGGCCGCGACCTTCGCCCATGCTGAGGCGGATAACCTTGAGAAGGTGGACGAGTGGTTCAATAGGCCTAGCAACGCCAAGCGCAAGACCACACGCCTCCACTTCTACTTCCATGACACGCTCTCAGGCAAGAACCCCACGGCGGTGCGCGTCGCCGAGGCCACGATGACTAGGAAGTCCCCGACATCATTCGGGGCGATCAACATGATCGACAACCCACTGACCGAGGGGCCCGAGCCAGAGTCCCCCCTCATGGGCCGGGCTCAGGGGTTCTATGGCTTTGCAGGGCTCGAATCGCTGGGCCTACTCATGAACGTGAACCTCGTATTCACGAGCCCCAAGTACAGCAGCAGCACTCTGAGCATAATGGGCCACAACTCGGCACTAGAGATCTATAGGGAGATGCCCATCATCGGCGGGACCGGCTTTTTCCGGTTGGCGAGTGGGAATCGCAACGGGCAAGACATATTTTCTCAACCACACCACCGGGGATGCGGTAGTTGAATATAATGTCATAGCTATGCATTACTAGACAGTACCCAGCAGACACTCATTGGACAAGTCATGGCTACTGTTGTAGTTCGTTTCTCCTTTTCTTTTTGACCTTTGGCTTTGCGGGATCCAAAGGTTATGGGGTAATCATATCGCTGTAGTTTGTGTGTGGATGAGTTGTTTCTGATTTGGTAATGCTCTCCATGCTTTCTGATTAAATTGGACGGTATGGTATCTTCTGGTGTGACCTTAGGTGAAACTAAATTAGACTCAGGGTTTATCACTGGTCATTGATACAGTGACCTAACTGAAATTACGAAGAGAGGAGGTGATGTACAAGTCATGTACAGTTTTCGCCTTTCTGCAATAGAACTTGCTGAAAATGTCTGATGATTTTACCCACCTAATAATGCAATATAACTTTTAGTAGTTTAGCCCTTGAATTATATGAAAATGTTTAATATTGTCTACGATCTTGAAATGATGGAAGGACAATATTAAACATTTACATATAGTTCAGAAACTACATTGAACATGTACCAAAAGTCAGAGGATCACATTGAATAAATTAAAAATTCAAAAATCACATTGAACATTAGGCTAAAATTTAGGGATCATATTACACATTGAGTCAAAGTTTAGGGATCATTTGTATTATTATCCCAATCAAATATGTAGATTATGTATATTGTCTATTTGATTTATTAGTCAAGTGTTATTCGAACTATCTTTTAGGTGGTCCGAATATATGTATAATATATAGTGATCTCGGATTGAGCATTTTTATAGTCCTTCGATTTTGAAGAAATGTAACATGCTAATATTATTCTTTTCCTACATTCAAATTTGCAATTAAATTAAGTGAAATGAAATTATTGTGCCTTCATATACCCTGCATATGTAGAGATTATATGCCTTTTGCTTACAATTTTCTTTCATGCAAAGAGTGTCATTTACATCTGATCAAAAACTGATTGGTGTCAATTTCCAAATCCAAGACCGCAAAGACGATGTAAAGTCGGTACTAACGTGAAGATTGACTCGGCGGTCCGACGTGAAGCCTTTTGATTGTTAAAATGATTTGGTCCTATGACCGACTGATACCTGTTCTCACGTCTTGTCCATAGATATTGCAGATACGTTCGATAACGCAGACAAAATGATGAAGTCAATCGCTAGCGAAAAAGCACGACCAATTAGCGATTGATTTCGACAACTTTTGTTTCCTCTTTCTCTAAAGGTGCCTTCTTTTCATGAGTCTCCTTTTGAGTTCATTTTCGCCTATAAATTCCGTCCAATAGTATCCACTTTCCCAAACAATTTCAGGTAGAAAGAGAGAGATGGCAAAGCCAGCTTTAACGGCAACGGTGGTGGTGGTGGTGGCTGCTCTTGCTCTGGTGGCCACGGCCGCGACGCTCGCCCCTGCCGAGGCAGATGACCCCGAGAAGGTGGACAAGTGGTTCACTACTCTTAGCCACGCCGAGCGCAAGACCACGCGCCTCCACTTCTACTTCCACGACACGCTCTCAGGGAAGAGCCCCACGGCGGTGCGCGTCGCCGAGGCCCCGATGACCGAGAAGTCCCCGACGCTGTTTGGGTTGGTCAACATGATCGACGACCCACTGACCAAGGGACCCGAGCCGGAGTCGCCCCTCGTGGGCCGGGCTCAGGGGTTCTACGCCTCGGCCGGGCTCGAGTCGCTTGGCCTGCACATGAACATAAACCTTGTATTCACGAGCCCGGAGTACAACGGCAGCACTCTGAGCATAATGGGCCGCAACCCGGCGTTCGAGACCTATCGGGAGATGCCCATCGTCGGCGGGACCGGCGTTTTCCGGCTGGCAAGCGGGATCGCGACGGCAAAGACGTACTTTTTCAACCTCACCACCGGCGATGCGGTAGTTGAATATAAGGTCGTAGCTATGCATTACTAGACACTAAGTTGATATATCGCTGCTTATGTTGTAGTCCACTTTTTTCTTGTTTTTGGCCTTTGATTTTGTGTGGTCCAAAGGTTATGTACGGGGTAATTACATCGTTGTAGTCATGTGTGGATGTACAATCGTTTCCAATTTGGTAATGCTCTACGTGCTTTGTGATTTTTCATTGATTTTGGTGGTTTGGAATCTTCTTGTGTGGCTTTAGATGAGCTAAATTGGACTCGGCTTATCACTGAGTAGGTAATGTACAATGTTTGCCGCCTCGTGAACATAGAACTTGCTGAAAACGTCAATGATTTTTCCGACAAACAAAAAAGGAAAACGTCAATGATTTTACCCACCTAATAATTATGAAATTTGATGCAGTCGACGTGAATTTTTATTTTAATATTTTGGAATTCCTCTTTTAAAATTACTGAAACCCAAGATTATGCATTGAATGGTTTCGATACAAAAGTTGTCTCACGGTAAACTCAATCAACCACCTAACACTAATATTGAGTGCTCTATGTCTGTTCATCTTAATAATTGGAATAGGTGCGTTTGAACTCGAATGATGCGACACGACACAGTTCGACCTTGAGACAAGACATCGAATGAACTATTTGTTCCGGCCCTAGCACGTAACTACTCGTTCATCCAACAATAAAGAAATAGAAAAGAAACTTTAACGCTCCATTCATTTTGCGAAAAATAAATGATTTGAAAAATATTTTTCTAAAAATGATCGCTTTTATCGCTTATAAAATGAATGAAAGAAAAATATTTCCATCATGCACGAAAATATTTAAACATAAATTGTTATCGACAATAAAAATATTTTCCATTGATTAATTATTTCAAGTAATATAAACAATTATTTTAAGATTAATATTTTCTAAATTATTAATTTTTCATTAAACAAACGCACCATAAGAATATTTCAAATTTGCTATTGGGGTTGTTGCCCAACGTTTTCAGCCCAACGTTTTCAGCTTCTTCTTTTTCATTCATCAAAATCCAGAGATATGATCGTAATTAGCTGGTTATATATCTGGAAAGGAACTAACACAACAACTCACCGTCATGACCCCCCACTTAATTTTGGATTCTTCAAATCAGAATCGAACGCACAACCATCCGATTTTTGAGCCGTAGCATAGAAAAGTGATTAAACAATTATAATCGACATTCGCTATTTAAACAAAGGCTTCCATGACTACCACCCCCTCACGCTTAAAAAAAATTGTACAGAAAAGAAAAGTGTATCGTCAACATTCCCATTGCACGACTAGATTAGAAGATGATGTGAGGGAGATAGTGCTAATCGACCGAACCAACATATTTTATTGGTTTGAGAAACTTTACTACATACCATTGCAAATATCCAATTATTGGGTCCTAAGCGTGAATCACGACATTTCATTACTTCCGATTGAAATCATGAACGTTGATGTGAAAGGGTAGAGTATATTGGAAATTTTTTTTTATCTTAATAAATTGGAAAATTTTTTTTATCTTAATAAGCATTGCCATTGATTAGGGCATCACTTTGTATTTGCGAAAAACGGGCTATTACAATATATTAGACAATGCACGAAAACTTAAGTACAATTGCATAACCGAATTATGTTCGGCTTTACACATCTCGGTCTAGTAAAAATGTGGTAGGACGGCTTACTATAGGCATAGTGTTCTAGTAGTGACAGGTGATAAATGGGCTCATTAGACGTGACTATATTGAAATGGCTAAGGTCCTCTGTCCATTTTCGGCCTAAATAAAAAAAAAAACAAAACAAAACACCAACTTCAGCTTAAGTGGCAATTTTGGCATGAACTTTTTTTTGTCTCTTAAAAATCACCAACTTTCATTATAATCCAAAATTTGACCCATTTGACTAGCTGGATTTAAAACACTATTTATTGTCTTTTTTTCTGAGCCACATCTTGGAAAATAACGGTGAAATTATTCATGGTCTCATTCGCTTCACCGGCAAGTAAAATAAATCTCCAGATTGAGTCTCTCCAGCCAGCCTGCACCGTTTAGTCGTAATCTAGAGTTGTGGACCACCACCAGTCGAGAGACGTCATGGACGAGATCCGCCAAGCTCACGACCGCAACCTTTTTTTCTGAACGAACCCAAGTCCTCCCCCTTGAAACTTCGAAGTCTACGTCAAATTGACATTAATCGATTGATCTCATTTAATTTATTGGGCTCTACTGATGGACATTAATAAATTGATTTTGTTGGGAAGTATAGGGAAGGAGATTCTAAAGTTGTGTCATGCCAAAGTGCTTGTAACAATCTACAAGATCTCAAGCTTCGGTTAGCTGGGGCCAGATTTGAGACTCAAGTAAGTTAGTGATTTTTATTGAGACAAAAAAAAAAGTTCGGATCAGAATTGTCACTCAAGGTAAAATTTATGCTTGTTTTTTTTAATTAGCCTCTCAATTTCCTAACATACATACTCCATTGTTCTATCCATCGAGAACCGTCAAGGTAAAAGGGAGATTGGAGAGGAAGACCTAAGTAAAGAAGTGTTAGGAGTCACCGCACAATTACAAAGAAAATAGAGAGTAAAAGCAAGAAAGAGAATTTGAGATGCAAAGTTTTATCCTTGTTCACTCTTAAATTAGGGCTACATCCAGCAGAGAATTCTACTATAATTAGCACATCGCACCTCTTTATTATATCCCTTAATTACAAGAGAAAGAATACATATATATATATATATATATATATATATAGTAGCTATTCACGGGCCCAAACTACTAATAAAACTTGATCAGAATCAAATCTGTCAATTCCACTCACTGTCTATTTGATTAATTAGGTGTCGATTTTTTGGAAATCTATATAATGGATTCGGCCGCTAATAAAAAAGCACGACTAATTAGTGATTGCTTTCCACAACTTTCGTTGCTTCTGTCTCTAAAGATGTATTCTTTTCGTAAGTCTTCTTTTTGAGTTCATTTTCGCCTATAAATTCTTTCCAATAGTATCGTTTTCCCAACAATTTCAGATTGAAAGAGAGATGGCAAAGCTAGGTTTAACGGCAATTGGTGGCGGTGCTCTTGCTCTGGTGGCTATG